TGCTGCCAGCGGAGCTGGTGGGCCACAACAGTTATCTATATCCAGCTGGAACTCCTCATCCTCTCCAGCCTTAAAACTTTCTGGATTTTACAGTTCCGCCCAGCAGTACCAATCAAGTAGACGTGAGAGCTTCAATTTAGACGTAAGTGTTTTTAACATTTTATAATCAAAAGTACCACCTTTGGGGCAAATTTGGTTCCCGGCTTTGTCACTGAGCAGAGTCCACTTTTCACATAAGCTGCACACATACCTCTTTGTCATTCCTGCCTGGATGGGCAATTTCTCCTGCTCCCAGGCCTCCATCAAGCTCCCTAGTGGACATCTTGGTGGGATTCTCGATTCTGAGCTCCCCATATTTGGATTCCTAGCTGGCCGCCCAGGAGCAAGCTTCTCACTTACTTTTCAGTTCCCTTTCCCACGTAGTCTTTCTCTCTTACCTGGCAGAAGATCCTGCACTCCAGTCAAACCCCCTTGCTTTCCAGCGTCTGTCAGTCACGATCCTGTGGAACTAGTGAACAGCCAGGGGTGGGAGGGGCAGCTAGGAAAGGCTTGGCGGGAGCAGGATCCAACTGCGATCAGGGAGTTTCTGGATCACTCAGATGAATTTTAGATCACTAGTTTTGATCAGATTGTAACATAAATACTACCTACTGTACAGAATATCAATTTTTGTGGGACTCTCTGTAAAAAAAGCCATAAGTTTAGGTAGGCCATGTTATTAAATGCTAAACCAGGCATGAGGGCAAGGATTTGATATTTTAAGATCCCTCTTAATGAATCATTTTATCCAGATTTTTACTTGAGGCACAAATGACTGCAATCAAATTATTATACTTTGGACACATTATGCAAAGATTGAATCTACAATACAATACAGTGTATTGGGAAAGGTGGAAGGAAAGAGAACCAGCAACAAGATGGATGGAAACAATTGCAGCAGAGATGGTGCACCATTAGAACACCTAAAGGATCAGAATGAAGGCCAAACATTTGGAGAAAATCTCTATGGTTGCTAAGAGTCCTCAGTGACTGATGGCATACAATCCACTTGGTTCCTGAGCAGAATAAAACTTCATAATTTATTTATTTATTTTACAGGGTTTATCAGCTACTGAAATCGCAACCAACTCTGAATGGTGAACAATTTCCCCTCTGTAATTTAAGTTAAAAATGGTTATATTCACCGTTTTGAGTTATTTGTAAAAATAATGCAGGATAAAAATAAAATAAAAATAAATTTAAAAATAAAAATAAACAAAAATCAAAACAACAAAGCCCAAACATGCAAATCACCCCAAATCCCTACAATTATACATCTAAGTACCTGAGAGCAAAACCCAGTCAGCCTCACCATGAATAAAAGAAAATTCCACTACCATGGGGACAGACATTATTATCTCCATCGGGGTCAATTGGAAAGAAAGAAAGAAAGAAAGAAAGAAAGAAAGAAAGAAAGAAAGAAAGAAAGAAAGAAAGAAAGAAAGAAAGAAAGAGGAGAAAGCACATTTCTGTAGCTCCTGTAGATGGTAATCCCTGAGCAAGATGGCACAAAGCATCCACTCCACTTGATCTTATTGGGAAGCAAACATTATTAGGAGAAAGCAGTTCCACAGATACCCTGAATCATGAAAGGTTTCAGAGATGACAACCAACAACTTAAATAGCACCCAAAAGTAATGGTGTGTACTGTATACATGTAGACCGAGGAGCATGAAGACTACCTAAATTGGTGCATTCCAGTCCAAGTGTAGCTTTACTCAGTAGACCGCAAGATTCCCCCAAACATTACCTATTGTGTGTTGGTTGTTCTTTCATTTATATTCTTCTTAGCTTTTCTTCTTAATGTGTAGCTTGGACAGAGCTACAATCTTAAATATGAGATTTTATCAGCTTCTCCTTATCATCATCATCATCATCTAACAACCCCAAAATCCCTTGTGGGGTGGAGTCTGGACAACTGAATGGAGCAGAGTGTATATTGGCCGGATGCCCTTCCTGTTGCCAATGCAGAGTTTTGTTCAGCAGATATATCCTCATTGTGCTTGGAGAGAGAAATATCTGCCTCTACCTAGGATCGAACTCACAGCCTCCTAATTGTGAAGCGAGAGCTCTACCTCTAGGCCACCGCACCACTTGTCAGCTTCTCCTTCTAAATAGTTTTATTGTCTGAATTTTAAAGAATGCTCTTTAATAGTTGGATGACATCCATCTTTACATTATTTTAATAAAATTTCCCTGATTTTCCGTTCCAATTGATTTTTTGTGGAGCACAATGGTATAGAATTATTTGGCTTATATGAAATATATTTCTGAGACTACAGCATATATCCAGTTCATGTTCTGTCTTTTGCTTGCCGATACTGTATACACACCAAATTTATCTTGGTTCATGTGAATTTACATGTAACTAAGCTTAATGATCCTAAAGAGGTTCTCTTCAGTTTGCTTTAGTGGAGATCTGAGAATGGAAAAGAAACAAGCAGAAGATGGAAAAAAAGGACAACCCATCAAGGAAGAAGATATACAAGTAACCTAAAATTGGAAAGAATATCAAAAAAGTGATAGGGTCTCATAATAAGGGATTTAAGTTGCAGGAAGGTAAGATTGCCTTAAACACCCCCAAAAACTTCCCCAAACTAGAAATATTTTGACAGTGAAACTGAAGTAGTCGGCTCCCTTTCACCGGAGTTGTACAAGTGAAGGTTAGACAACCATTTATCTGCATGCTTGAGTTTGGATTCCAGAATGGAGCAGGGGGTTGGACTCTGTGGCCTAGTGATCCCTTTCAACACTTTCTTTCTTGTGCTGCTCCATCTGATCAGAGTTAACCCATCCCATATAAACAAACAATTGCTAGCTTAGCATCTTTGGATTAAGTTACTTTTGTTACTTGATCCTTTGTAGGCCATGGAGGTTGGTGGGTAGAGAAATGTTCTTCCCATAGAGCACTTGAGTTCTTTTGCTTATGCAGTACTTCAATTTTACCTATGGTGACTCTGCCTTTCCTCTGCCAGATGCCACATAAATGGAAGGGTGGGAGAGATACAAAGAGAGGCCTAAAGAAAAATTTAAATGCTGGCAGACTCAGGAAAGCCTTCTGCTTTGCTGTCTTGGGATGAGTTGTAAAGGTCAAAATTGCTGTTTGGATTGTATGAGAAATTAACTTGGAGCTCATGCCTTGGCAAAGAACAAAGCTGATGCATCCAGAATGGTGAATTCCTGTCTCACGAATTGTTGATCCAAGGCAGTATCAAATTTTTGGTGCTCTCTGATCTTGGTTTTTCTTTGCAGACATTTAATTATCTGATTAGGTAACATCATCAATGCTAGTGAGTGTGAGGGTTGCTCTGTTTATATATAGAAGCTTGGCCTACCAGTTGGGGTGTGGTTGTTGCTTTGGTAGTTCCTTGATTAGGGTATTGTTCTCTGATTGTCTGCTTGACTGTTTATCTACTTGGTAGTTTCTTGATTAGGGTATTATTTTCTGCCTGATGGTTTGTCTGGTATTAATCCCTGCTTATCTGGATGTTGGCTGCTGGAGAGGATGTGTTCTGGTCTTGTTTCCTTCTTAGCTTTTTATTGTCTCTTTTGAATGTTGCATAAATATAGTTAATCTCTATGTGCCTGTTAATGGATGATTTGTCTGAATGCCAAATTTTCAGGAATTCCCTAGAATTTAGCTGTCTTAGATGCTGATAGTTCCCTAGCTGAAACTGAAGTCTGTCCATGTGTTGTGAAATTTGTATCCAGTCTTCTGACTGCTAGTTGATGTTCATTGATGCGTTCAGCTAGTCCTCTATCCCTCTATCCTATCTAGTGGCTGTTATAGTTCTTAAACTATATGTTGTAAATGGCTCACTTTTTTTCTTCTTGAGCTGCTGGGTCTTATGGTTTATTTAAGATGTTCTGGAGGGCTTTAGTTGGTTTGTGTGCTATGGTGGATTACTTGGTAATGGAGCACTTGGTTAGTGTGGGTCATTTTTTAATAGTATTTCTGATCTGCTGCCATTTCCTCTGCTGATGAAGATATCCAGAAAGAGTAGTGTTGTGTTTTCTTCTTTACTTATGAATTTTATTTCTTTAAAAATGTTGATTGTTCCATGTGTTTTCTGTAGCTGTTCTTTTTTTATTATGACAAAGGTGTCGGATCTATGCGTTTGGTTCTATGTGTGGGAATAGTATAATTTCTAGACATTGCATTAGTCTCTCTAATAGTCCCGAGAGTGGTGATCCCAGTGAGTGTTCCTCTGATTTGTTGGTATATTTGTCTATCATACTGAAAATAGGTAGTGAGGCAAAGATTGATGAGGTCCATAATTCAGGGTATTTTGATGTAGTAATGAAATATCTGTAAGTAAATAACCAAGATCAGAGAGCACCAAAAATTCCACAGTTCAGCCCTGAGGTAGATATTTTTTTTATTAGTCAAATATAGTCCAAATATGTATTACGAATATTAGTACAATATGGACCACTGAGCCTAAAATAGCCCTATGCATCAGGAAAACACGAATGATCTGAATAGCCACACGTTTGGACTATCCAAATACTGTGGGAACAAGCTGTAGGGAAAGGTTACTGCCTTTTTTATTTGAATTTTCCAGGTGGGTCAGGGGAAGCAGGAAAAGTGCCCGACTTGAACTGAGCCAATTTCCTACGCTATTATCTGTAACGAGTTTCTATGGGCAAAAGGCAATCTATCATCGCTGCTTGAGCTAATATCGAGGGTGAAAAGACGAAATGTTCTTCTCCCCGCGCCCTGCAGCCTGACTCTCCCGGCAGCACCGAAACCAGAAAGCTGAAAAATAACAAGCCCCGGCTTTGCACAGCGAAGCTCCCGCGCGCGCTCTTAGCTCGCTCGCTCGCCCGTCCTCTTCTCCCTCTCCCTCCCACACACACCCCCCGCCACAAACCGCCGTTTGGTTTCTCCCTCTGCCTGAATGGCGACTTGATAAGTTCCGCCCTTTCCTCCCTCCTCTCGCCTTCTTCTTCTCCTCCCCCCCCCTTTTTGCAGGATGGTCTATCCCGAAGCCGCTCCGCCCCCTCCCTCCCCGGTGCGCGCCAAATCGGCTCCCGTCGGATCCTTGCCTGCTGTCCTGCCGGTCCCGATGCCCGCCCAGGCCGCTCCGCTGACCCCGGAGGAGCTGCGCAGGCGGTGAGTAGTCGGCGCTAGGGGGGCTCGGCCGGCGGATCCCCGGCCGAAGGTTATTCGCTCCCCCGTCCTGTCCCGAGGGCACGTTGACCTACCACCACCACCCCCCACCCCGTGCGCACAGCCTCTGCGGTGGCCGGGGCTGCTCTCTCTTTGGGCACCCTTCTAAATCTGGGGCGGGGAGCGGGGGTTTCCCCCCCCGCTTCGTAGTCCCCGTAGTCCCCCCCGCCCTTGCATTTCTGGACAAGGGGAGCGGGACCCCCTCGTGCTTCCCACCCTCTTCCTGTTTGATGGCGAGCCTCTCTGTTCTCCAAACTGACAATCCCGGACTCCCCGGTTCCCATATTCCGCTTCCCCCAAACGTGTCCCGCGGCCGTTGGGTTACGCAGGGAGACGAAAAAGTTCCCGAAGGGGGGAAGTGCGACAAGGGAGCCCGGAACTATATGGAGAAAAGTAAAGGAAGGCACTAGGTCTCTTTCTCCCCCCCCCCCCACCCCGCAAACTCCCCACGTTTTAATAGCCTGCAGTGGAATTTTGAGTCACTTAGGTGCCCTTGGGAGTGGGGGGGGGGCGGGCTAAGAGAAAGCATTTTTTGTGGTTCCCTAGTTTGAGAAAAAAAAAGGATATATCCTTAATTGGGGAGTTTCCCCACTTTGGGGGCAGAGATAGTGACCTGGAGTGCAAGGCCTTTGAAATTCTTTACATAATATGCTTTTGTTTTGTTTTTTTAAACACCCCCCCCCTTGGAGGGAGAAGATATTTACTTGGATAAAAGGAAGGGGGGATCTGTTTTGTTTCTTGTTCATAGGATTGTTTGACCACTGCACTATTTTCCCGCTTTCCACCCACCCCATACTTGTCAAGTGACAAAAATTAGTTCCATTAGGGTAGTTTCTAAAATCCTAAAATCAGTTAAGATAATTATGTTATCAGGTTTTTAAGGCCTTCAGGCTTGGGATCTCTTGAATAGAATTGCCTCTCTCTCTCTCTCTTTCTCCAACGCAAGGATTAAAAAAGAAGAAAAAATTTTAAAAAAGGAAAAAAAAAGAGGAATCGGAAGTGAGGGGATTGTTTAATCTTTACTAAAAACATTCAAAGGTGCCAGCTTCTTTTTGGGTGGGGGTGGGAATGTAAGGAATATGAATCATTGCATCAGACATTAATTAGCCACTGTATATCGCACAAGGACACGGGCCTCATCTTTCCCCTGGCCTTCCTTTTTTCTCCATATGCCACCCCTTGCCATCTGGGACAGGAAGTGAAAACGAATTTCTTTTCCAGTTGAAAGCGCATCTTGGCGGGAACATTTGTTTGTGTTTAGGGCAAGGATTAACGCAGGCGCACACACACGGTTCAGGAAGCATTGGTTAACATGCCCTGACTTCTGCATAAAAATAAAGGGGGGGGGGCTGACATGGGTTGGGTTGTTGGCAATCATGAGCTTGCAGGATGGGGTGGTGGCTTTCTGCTCTTCGGCACTTCCAGCAGCGTGCTGCATTTCAATGGAACCTGGCTCTTTCTGAAGGAAGCGGGTTTTTTGTTGGACCTCTTTCCCTGGGCAGAATTATTACTGACAATTGCTCCAAATAATCAGTGCTGTGCACATTATCACGTTGGCTCAAAACAAGTTGTCTTTTAGCTTCCTCTCTTACTGGAATGGATAGCTATCCTCCACCAGAGAAACATGGGAAGCACTCTTCCTTTTTTTCCCCAACCCAGCCTCTTCACTCCAATAGTGTTGCTATGGACATCTGTCAGTTTCTTTGTACTATGGGAAAGCATTAGATTTTTACCATTCATCACCTTTAGGTTTTAAGTTCTATAAGCGCCCTTAAGGTTGTTAGAAAATAGATTATATGTACAACTATTCTTTTTTTTTTTTCTCAGCAGAAAAACAAATTTGGAGACAAAATAAATGTTGCTCTCTCCTGCTTCTTTAGCTTAGTATCTGCTAAATCTTTGTGTTCTAGCTCTCAGGTCTACTTTAGGTGGTTCTTCAGGCCTGCCTGCAAAATGAAGCCCAAAAATGAGTGCTTATTGGAAATGAGTTGACTTTTGTGTAACCATGGAGAACTTGGAAGAAGGAAAGTGTTCCTTCTCTTTCTTTTTCAGCTTCTCATTAAATTGTCTGCCAGCTAGTGTGCTACCTTTAAGGATATCATATGTAAGCCTTCCTTACTATGACCCTTGTGAGCAAGCACACTAGCTTATACCACCTGGTTCATCTATTTGTGTATTTCCTTCCTTCTGAGAGAGTCTGTGTTGCTGTTGTCCGGAGTCAGCAATGGGTGGGAACTTGCTCATCTGCCCTTCTGACAGAACTTCAGCAGTGGGATTTTTCTCAACTCATTTATTCTCTTGCCCCCATTTTCATGACAGTTCTATGTATTGCCATTCTTGGCAGGATTGGTAATGAAATCCCATCCGAGTCAACATTTCTAGCTGAATAAAATCTCTTTAGCTTCTTTCTAATTTCTATTATGGAACTGTCACCCTTGGTTTTGACATGGTTTATGTGGTCATAAGAGAACATTTATAAGACCTTGTATCAGAAAAGTCCTTTAAATTTTCCTCGCATCTTGGAGTGCCCCCTTGCCCGGTCTTGTATTGACAGTGGAGAGTAATGAGTCCACTATAGAGAAATACAATCACACAGTAAAATTTTGAACCGCTTTGGTTGAATGTTTTAAAAAGAAACCTCAGCTAGTTTGTTTTGGCAGGAAATTTACAAATTGCATGATTAACCAAGAAGCAATGTGAAACTGAAGGTTTTCTGTTATGCTGACGGGTCAATGGTCCGGGAGGTTGTTTTCATTTAAAAATGTTTTTTGCAAAGATGGGGAAGTAGAAAAGTCGGAAAGAAACTTAAATTTATTCTTTTTTCTTTTCTTTTTTTTACAATTGCTGCAGTAATTGCGGCATATTGATTTTGTAGAATGAAAATGATTCTCATTTCTGAGAATTATTTAAATAACTTATTTTAACAATGGGAGCAAGGGACGGTTCAAGCTTTGCCTTTATTATTATTTTAAAGTTCTGCTGACTGACCCTAAACGAATCTTATATTCAGGTTACAACAGTAAAGGAGAGCATATATTGGAGTGATTATTTGTGCAGGTGATCAAGACCAACTAGCTTTGTGGCAAGTTTAGTCATAGTGACTAAAGATGAGAGGAAGAGTGCAGAGGGATAATTCTTTGGCCACTTGCAGAAAAAAATAAGACATTTGTTACAATTTTAAAAGCTAGTTTTTTTGTAGTAGTAATAGTTGTAGTACTAGTGGAAACTCTTATGACTATGGCCCAATTGTCAAATGCATGAAGCTGAAATATTTTAATTACACATGAGACGAAGGTGGGGATGTTTTTACAAAGTAAAGCAGCATTATGAAGAATATGAATGAAAAGTTAAAAGGTAAACATGTTAATTGGAGTAAGTATGGCCCACTTTAAATGGTAATGAATATTGTACTTAAAATGCTATAATAATGACAGCTGACATCCTTTTTTGATGACCTACTCTGTATTAGTTCTAGGACGTAGTGTTAAATGTGGAAATTCTAACCTGAAACATATCTGGAGTCTCCAGAGATATTTTTCTCTATCAGGGTAGTAGGCAAACAAAAAAAGCCAGTTTCTGAACGAAGAGGTCTTTGTAAAAGAGCAGTATAGCCATATAGCTTGCTAAATTATATAACCGGAATATAAATTAGTACTTGCAGAATATATATGGAGAGGGCAGTTCCCTTGTATGCCTCCACAGGAAAGCGTTTGCCTTCACTGGAGCAGTAGCAATACTTTGCTCTCTGGTATTGCTGTTGACATTTTGGTCATGTTTCTGACTTACTTTTACTCATGGGAGTAAATGAAATGTAATCCAAAGAGGGTCTTTAACACTGTTGTCTCATGGGCACCAGTCTCTTGTATGGCTACAAACACAGTTGAATGATGAGATCCGGGAGAAAATATTAATATATTCTTCAATAACTGTCTACCTTTACTAGAAGGTATACCACTGTTTTGTTTTGAAAGAAGATAGGAAATCTTTGGCCAGAATCAAAATTTTACCTGTTTGCATGTCATTGTCTCAGGCGGTGTGCTCACTCTGAACTATGAAGTCAGTACTACAAAGAGTCCTTTGAGCCACAAGAAAACTCTTTTCCCATGATACCCATATCTTGTGTTCTGTTTCTCACATTTCCGAGTTATGGTCCAGCTTTAGGTGAAAGCAGATGGAAAGCTAGGCATTCAGTTTGTCCTGTTTTACTGTATTAGTAATCTAGTGAAATGGTTATTTTAACTGGCGCAACAGTAAAGAAGGGATCAAAGGAAGTCAGGTAATTACAAAATATAGTATTTCCTGTAAAAAAAGGTTGAAGCCCTAAGGCACGTTTTTCAGTCTATGAATAGATTTTGTGTTTGTGTGTGGAAATCATTACCTGTGCTTTTCATCGCTATCTCTGCCTTTATGTTGGCAGCTATAGATTTCAATCTGAAGTATGAGATGAGGCTTTGGGCTCCCTCTATACCTCCACTGCATAGAAATTAAGAGAACTATTCTTGGTTGTGGAATTACTCTTGTCAATTGGAAGCCTCCTCCAAGACAATATTAATAATGTCATCCCATTATTGGATATTTTCTCTATGAATTGAACTTTAATACCATCTCATTTTTGAGATATATATTAATTGATGTAGACTTTTTTCCTCCTTTAATTTTGTTTACTCCTATTTGAATATTAAACTAACTTTCCCCAATATGGGGGCCTCTAGATAAATTGGATTGCAGCCTCCTTCAAGCCCTTTGATTGCTTGAGGTAGCTGGGCATGGTGGGATTTGTAGGCTAAAAGATTTCATCAACTTTAGAAAAGATGGTTTAAATCAAGCGAGTTTTCCCTTTTTTGCCTTGTTTGGCCTTGGGTAAAAGTTTTATTTCATTAGTATTTACTGCTAGCTGAACTGCTTTACTCATACTAAGACAATGGGAACTAAGTAGTTTTTCCAGTCAGTCAGAGAAGGCCTATTACTTCCTGGTACAGGTCTTTTCCTTTGGCCTAACCTAAGGGATTTGCAGGTGCTCTGGAGAAAGGAAGCTGTGCATATGAATGTGAGGTGTGCCCATTAGAATCTGGTAGATGCACTATCAGAGGAATAATGTTAACAAATCCTATTGGTTTGCGGGTTTCTTGGATGTCAGGTTGATCAGCCAGCCTATTCTCAATGCAAGAAGTGATTTTTGCCTGAGTTTAAAACAAAAATTGAGTTTACTGCTTTTTTTTCAAGTTGATGGTGCAAATATTTTAATGAGGAAGAGGAATATATGGATTCTTTGTTTCCCTAGAATGAAGAGTTGGTATATATCTTATATCCTGGCATTTTATCCTTAGCCTATACCTGACAGGTGGCTGCCAAACCATACTTTACATACTTTACACTAGACCTATTGATATATGAGGATTAAATTCTCAATCACCAGTTTTAATTATGTTCAGTGCAAGTACTTGAGGTAGTTTATCTTCTAAAAGTGTGTGAGAATTCTTTTCTCAACCAAAACACCATCTGAATTGCTTTTAGCAAGATGTCCAATCAAAATATGTTTAAATTATGCATGCAGGGATTAAAGTGTAACACAAATACTGTTCCTGACTGTCAGATATTTCCACTGATCTTAGTGCTAATGGCTTCAGGCTTCATTTACTTTAGAAGCTGCCCCGCATCTAAGCATAACATGTCAAATATTGTTTCAGTTCTAAACGATATTTTTAATATCCTTTATTTCTTGGATTCTAACAGAGATCCAGAAGAAGCCTCAAGTTTTACATATGCTCTCTTGCTCTCCTTTCCAGTATGGAAAAGAAGTGCACTGATGGAATGCTAAGATCTTCATTCAGTGAAGGAACTCCTTTGATTGCCCACAACAGTCTGGTTCACATGTATTGTACTATGCCAAACTAAGGTTTGGCTGCTCATGGATTTGTGTTTTTATGTCTATCAAGCCAACGTATAATCTGTTCAACAAACCATAATTAAACCTTGGCACAATATGACAATGTCAGTGAGTCAATTCTGAATTTGTTCTAGTAGGAACTATATCTTACTGTGATTCATTCTGTGACAAAAGTCACAGAAAATCAAAGGGCTTGTGTATATCTAAATCAATTGTTGATCCTCTAATTTGGCTTTCATTTCAGAGGTGAAATTTTCCCCAAAACAGAAGACTAATTTGTGATGACTTTGTGTTTTGATTTAAAAACAGGCTGAAAGATCTCGAGAGGGATGAAGATGGTCTTGGTGAAAGAGTAAGTCACAAACTTCTTACTGCATCCTTCCCATGATGAATCATGAAATATCCTTCTGCTTCTATAGCTTGGGAAGCTTCTGCAGACCTGGGTTGCTAGCTGTGGCTCACCTAATCTTTTTCCCCTTCTGGCTTTTAGGAATGTGTTAAAGAAAAACTGAGTTTGATACATGGCTTCTTACAAGTAGATGTTCAAAACCAGTTGAAAGATCTGGAGACCAAGTTGCGCAAAGAGGAACTTTCTGAGGTGGGTAATCAGGGTAAATAGTTTCATCCCATTGTGTTCAACTCTTGTTTGCTTTGCCTGCCTTACAGTTAATGTTCAGAATTCTAATAGTGATTTCAGAATGAGTGGATGCATGATGGTTGCAAGTCTAATTTTGTTGCTGCAAGTTTTTGTTGCATATCTCAGCTTGCACATCTGATCAAGGCACACTGCTAGAGAAAAGACATTTTTTTTTGCTTTGTGATTTAAGCATATCTGAAAATGTCTTATATATACCAGTAATCTACAGGAAGAAAGACATGATCTGAGAATTGCTGTCAATTTATGTAGACATTTCCAAAGTAAGTCTGGAAATCAAAATACAAACCTATTCTACTAATCCATGTATAATTGGCCCTGTTATAGAAACAGGACCTGATCATTCAGAACCTCAGTTTTAAAAGAGATTATTTTTGAGCATCTTAATTTGCTGGTGTTGCTGAAATCTTTGAACTTCTTAAACTGAATAGGGAAACACATATCTCATTTTACTACTGAGCATCTCTTTCTCATCTTTTGGTTGGAAGAACTTCAAAACATGGGATTCTGAAATTTGAATCCAGTAAAGCATTTACTTCGCTGAGGACTGCATTACAAGAAAATTATCTATTGCTTATAGAATTGTGTTATTTCAAACAATATTCATTTTTTGCTCCTGGAATTTGAAACTTTTTACATTCTTCCACTAATCAACGAGCAATATTGCAAAATCATTTTTTTAAAGTAAAAGATAAAATAAAATGTCGATACATGTAGTCCTCAATTTACAACTACAATTGAACCCAACATTTCTATTGTTAAATGAGACATTTGTTAAGTGAGTCTTGCCCCATTTTATGGCATTTCTTGCCACAGTTGTTAAGTGAATCGCTGTTGATAAGTTAATAACACGGTTGCTAAGTGAATATGGCTTCCCCATTGATTTTGCTTTGCAAAAGGCAATCTCATGACCCTGGAACACTGCAACAGTCATAAGTTGTCAAACAGTCACCAGTTGCCAAACATCTGAATTTTAATCACATCATGGGGATGCTACAAAGGTCGAAAGTGTGAAAAATGGTCATAGGTCACTTTTCCATTGCCCTTGTAACTTTGAATGGTCACTAAGTGAACTGTTGTAAGTCGAGGACTACCTGCATACAATTTCCCACTAAAGCTAAATTATAACATTCTAGATTTATGTCAGCGAGATTGAAATCTGTCTTTTCAATGAGTAATTTAGATTGTTCTATAATAAGATAAATAAATTATTAGTGAGGATTCTGTTCATATTTCAGATATTAAATAATATTAAATTATTTTCTAAATAATTAAATATGCTACTTAATAGAACTGTAAAAACATAACTAGAGATTTACTAATAAAAAATTGTAATCTTAAGTAGTTAGCCTACTTAAGTGGAATATCAGAGTAAGATGACTTTTATAATGTTCACACACATAGACTGACACACACAATGCGTGTGATGGAGTGTGAAACATGCATGTTATTGGCATAGTGAGAACCTGCTCATAATTTTTCCTAAACCAATTCTTTTATTAGTTATTGGCAAACTAGATATTTCCATGAGTCATGGAAATGGCTGGCCTTATTTCTTTTTTTTGAGTGGAAGTATGAACATTCATAATTTAAGAGTTGAAACCGATAGAATTAAAATGGATTATGCTTAAGAGATGATCCTGGTAAGCTAGGAGGCAGCGTCTCATGGAATCACAAATGAGATCCCCTCTATAAATACATTCAACCTGCTACTCTTTCCCTTCTACCACAGGAACTCTACCTGACCAAAGTCAAAGCCCTACTCCATAGAGAACTGTCTTTAGAAAATGGAGACAACTTGGCATTTGGCCAGAAGCTCAATGGATGCTCAGAAAATGGTGGCTACGGCAGTGATGAAGACTCTGAGAGAGCAGAGAACAAGGGGAAGGAGGAAAGCAACATGGAAGTTGAAGAGGCTGCCTCATCTTCCTCTTCAACACCATTATCTTCACCATTTGTTCCAAAAGCTCGGAGAGGCAGGAAGAGCAAGTCCAATAGTGAGAACAGAAGTAAGATATGTATTATCTACTGAACAGACATTTGCCTGGGGGGGAAAGGTTAGTTGTAAATTTGGGCCTTAAAGGGATACCATCCTAAATTGTCTCTAAACAAGAAAACTTAACATTTATACAAATTTTAAAACAACAGCCATAATTTCTGCCTGGCAACATTTTTTAAATAAATTTGCAGGAACCTCAACCAGCTCCAGGATCACCCGTAGTTCTGGCAAGCAGCCAACCATAATGGCTCTATTTTCCAAAGGGTGAGTAAGTTTTGTGAAATTTGATATTTTTCTACTTTCATCTGTTTGTGCCTCTTCTGATTCTTTATTGACACCCATAAGCTCTTTTCCTTTTTTTTTTTTTCTTCCTTTGCTCCAATTGTGACATGACTACCTGCATTGAAATGCTTAATGTCAAAGAGCAGGCAGTGATTAATACTGAGATATGTTTCCAAAGAGGAATAAAACAGTAGACTGTTCTAGGGCAAAGAGTTAGGAGTCAGTTTGTAATGGCAATTGCTGGCTCCTAATCAGAGATTTCAGTAACAATATAGGTAGTCCTCATTTAACAATCATGATTGGGACTGGCAACTCCGTTGCTAATGAACAATCATGTGACTTTGACTATGCTTACAGTTTTACTTCAGCTTTCCTTTTCCCCATTCTCCTACTCTTCGGAATGCTAACCCCGGCACTGGGATAATTAGCAAGAAGGGAATTGTTTTTTTTAAAAAAATTCATTGGAAAGGAAAGGATTACAAGAGAGTAAGCAGAGAGACAATGGGGAATATACATTGAAAGGATGTATATGCCGGCTGTTTGCCTACTGCACTCACGGCCTTAAGCATGCTAGGCAAATAGCTGGCACTAGCACATTCCTTTCAATGTACATTCCCCATTGTCTGCCTGCTTATTCATAATCACTTCTTCCCCAATCTCTCCATTTTTGTAAGGTGGGGGAATGAAAAACTAGTTCAGGCACCAGACAAAGTGTACTGGCTATAATGGTGAACAGGTGACTGAGAGATGTTGCAAAGGTTGTAAATGCATGTCTTGATTGCAAAGTTATTTTTTCAGCACTATTGTAACTTTGAATGGTCACTGCATGAGGCAGTTAGTAAGGGAAGTCTTCCTGTAGATAATCTGTTCCAAGTATGGTACAACTCTGATTGAAAGCAGGCCTTGTTATGGTATCAAGAACATATTATTACAGATAATATATTAGACCCATACGGGGAGCCAAAGTACAGGCATGCATTTAGCTATACATTACACTCGGCTGTAAAGAGACTGAGCCTGATTTTTTAGAAAAAGGACTGGTTTGGGGAGAATGCAACAAAGAAGTTGGAAGAAGGATGGAACAGATCTCATTTCCCTTAGCTTTGTTTTTCTATATACCGTACTATGAACAGCTCCTTTGATTAATTTATATTTTATGGATCCATTTTATGGTTAATCAAAATAGATCCAACAAACGCAAATCAGATGAGGTGAATGGAGAGCTAAAACAAGAAAGTAATGCAGAAAATGAGGAGGAAGAAGAGGAGGAGGAGGAACTGCCTGGAGAAAAGGTATGCTTGCAACTTAGTTTTTTCCTATTTGGCATGGGCTGGCTAGAACGTTCAACTTAACCCATCTGACAGTTAAGAAGGTTTATGAAATTTTTTGAAAGTTTAGTTCTCCTGTGCCTCCTCCCCTAAAAGGCACCTGAATTGCACTGTGCAATTGATATCATTTGTGAGGGAGTTTTTTATTGATGCTAAATAGATCTAGCTTCGGCGTGTGAGCTGCATCTTTCTCCAGTACAGGTAGTCTCAACTTACAACCATGATTGAGCCAAGAATTACAGTCGTAAGTTATTGCAGTTGTTAAGTAGGTGATCATGTCACCATGCCAAATTTTACAAGCTTTTTGTGGTGGTCATCAAGTGAACAGGCAGTTATTAAGCAAATGTGGTCGTTAAGTGAAACCTTTTATCCAATGGCCAGTTTTTTGCTGGAAACAGGAAGTAAATGTCAGAAACCAGCAAAAAACCATTATGATTATGATCACGTGACATTGCAAATGGCTATAAAGATGAACTAGTTGCCAAATGCCAAATATGTAATAGCGTGACCATGGGGGGAAGGGGTTGTACAGTTGCCATAACTTCAGAATTGGATCCTAAGTAACTTTTGGGGACTCTGTCATAACTTCAAGTGCTTGCTAAGTGAGGACTACTTGTAATTTTAAAAGTATATAAACTTTTTACCCTTTTTTTTTCCCCCTCTCAAGGAACAAGATGAGAAAAGAATCAAAACCGAAGCCAAAGAAGGGTAAGTACTGTTAGCTGGACACTTAAAATCTAAAGTACTTTCCTTTCCATGGCTTAGTAGCAGTTATCTAAAACAGTGTCTCCAAAGACAAATAAGCTTAAAAGTGAGTTGCCTTTTTTACCAAGAGTGAATCATCAGGCAGAATTCAGTGTTAATTAAATGCAGCATCCATGGAAAAAGGGTCAGATGCAAATGGGGTCAGATATTTCTGATTTTTTTTAAGGCAGGCAGCATTTCAAATATTGCTTGTTCTGCATTCTGTGCCTTGGATTTCACTACCTTGGTGATCTCTAGGTTTATAAACTCACATTTCCTAGAATTGTTAGTCCTGTTAGAAAGGAATTATTGGACTTTTAGGCCCAATCTCATTGAGATTCTTGATTACAAAGACTGCTGCATTTTCTTTTTTTCATATCAAGATGCAAGAAATATATAATTTTTGTATGTGATCACCCAGCAGTCATCTAGTCCCTGTCAGATCTATAATAACCTACTACAGGGCTGTACTGTTGTTGCAGAGCTACAGTTCTGAGCAAGCTTGGTCAGACTGGCATGGAGTGCTGGGTGTTTCATCTTAGTAACATCAGAAGGCCAACTTGAATCTTACATAATTTACTGAAGTATGAAGGAGACTTGGCTGCTCTGTTTTTGTAGCAGAGCCTTCTCCATTTGAACAGAGAGACGGAAAAGAATAATAAAAGCAGTTCTTAACATTTTTTTAAAAAGTTTGGTAATCTTGACTGAGTAAAAGTGGCCCTTTTTTATAATTAATTTTTTTTATTTGAGTGGTAGAAAGCACCAGGGGAAGAAAGCATGGAGTTTACAAAGATTTTAAAAAATGGGAATGTTTTGTTTCCATCAGAACAGAAAAAGCTTCTTCATGTTTAATAAAAATTCAGCATTTGTCCAGTGCTTTATTATGCAACTGCAGAGATTGAAAGTAATAATTATAAAACTGGAGCAGACACCAGTCTCTTCTGTTTCCATAATAGTGGACATTTACTACAATATAGCCAATTATCTACCTCCTTGGCAAACTTTGCTTTTAATGTGCTTATTTGTACAAAGAATTACTATGCAGGTGCATTTAGATTTATATTCCTCCTTTTGATTATAGGATTCTAGTAAGCAATCTTGCAATAAAAGGCGCCACATTAATAATACCATAAATGTGCTACTGTTGGTTATTGGGATCCAAACACTTTACAAAATTATCAAATGTCTTAAACTTGTTACAATAGTCTGTAATATCCCTACTTCTGTCATTATGTGTGTCCCTTCTCCCCAGGTCTGAGATAAAAGAAGAAGTAAATCAGGTTAAAACTGTGACTCCTGTTAAAGTAAGTAGATATTTTGTTTGTGCGGTTTTGTTTGTTTAATGAATAAAAAACATGATCTACACTATATTTGCTAAAATGAAGCTAAGTGTTGAAAGTAGTTTGGTGCAGATGAGCCCTTCCCTCTTGGGTGGCAAATCATATTGTGTATATATACTCAATTTGGCTGAGAAATATGTTTTAATTAGCTGTGTCTGCCATTGTTTTGGTGAAAGCTAGTAAATATTACAGTGGCCAAATGTTCTAAAGCACTGCATATACATAATACATAAACTTTATGAGATATGGTCATCTCTAGCTACTGACAATTCAGAATCAGAGTATTTGAATAAGAAGAGAAGAAAAGTAACAATCAACTGCATGGTAAGTGGCTGTAGATAATCCTGCTGCTATTTGGTAATGGTTGTTTTATTGTGTGCTTAACAATGTTTCTTTGTAAATTACTCTGGAAATGTTTGGCATTACCTCCTGCCTGTCATGGGTAAACATTGAACTCTTTCCAACTTGATGCCTTTTAACACCTGCAATTCTTCAGCCAACATGAACACTGTAGTGCAATATATCTGGAAAGCACCAACTTGAAGAAACTTGAAATAATCTGCAGTTAATTGAAGCTAAACAATCACTTAAGTTATAAAGTGGTTTGTTTACATTAAGTGAAAGCCAGTGCATAAATTCAGCTATGGTGCTTATATACTATAGCTTGTGGCTTGCTAACCATCCATGGCTTTAAAAAGCTATAGTTTCACATAATATATAAATCTAGTATCATACATCAAAATGTTATATAGTTAGAGTTCCTGGAATGTAGCCTCTCTGAGCAGCAATATTTCTATGGACTGTAAGATTTTTGAATCTATGAAAGAATTATTACTTTTTTTAGTTTTATAAAAAAAAATACATTCCTGTGTTGTCTTCTGGCTTTGTGGATGGGTATGCTTTTAAATACCATTGCCCTTTGCTTGCATAAAGTAATAATTATATACTATTTGAAAATAGCATTATCTTCTTATAAAATATCCAGGTTCGTGGTTACCTAAATTCAGTATTTTAGCTATGAACTTTTTCTAGGACATTTTACATAAGGCTCCTTTCAGAATGCTAGTATCGCATCTCTAATTCACTTCCTCACGAGCTTTTCAATTCAACATGAGAAGTTTTTGTAAAATGGTAAACTTCTTTATTTATAAAAGAAGCTCACAGGGCGGCATAGGAATTTGAAAAGCTGTTTGATTTTACTGTCTTTTTTCTATCCTGTTTCCCCCAAAATAAGACATCCCCTGATAATAAACCCAATTGGGCTCTTGAGCGCATGGCAATAAGGCCATGCACTTATTTCAGGGTTCAAAAAAATATAAGACAAGATTTTATTTTCGGGGAAACACAGTATAAGTACCTACGGTCCACTTTAATTTGGAGATGACCAAACCAGAACAAGCTGGCAACTAAATGCATAAATTCAGTAGTTAAAGTCATCTTAGATTTCTTCATTAAAGCAAGTTTGGGAAACACCACATGTAGCCCTTCAGGTGAGAGCTGGAGTGCCCTATATCTGCCATTGAATTTCAGCAGCATGCAAATACCCATCCCTGAATTAAGAACTGAAAAAGCAGAGTTTGTACATTCATGTAAACTGCAATACATTGATTCCATATTCCAATATATTGTTTTCAAAATTAGATTCAGAGATTCCTGAATTAATTACACATTTCTGAAGTCCTTGGTTCTGGTCCAAGTGAAGTTTTTCTGTGATGCATTTTTCTTCCAGACGACCCCTCCCAAGTGCATGGAATGCAGGCAGTACTTGGATGACCCTGATCTGAAGTTCTTTCAGGGGGATCCAGATGATGCAGTAAGTCGGCCCACTTTTGCAGCTGAAAAACTTCCTCATTTGAACGTTGTCAGAGTGAAAACCCAATGTTCTTTACTCCTAGCTGGATGAACCAGAGATGTTGACAGATGAACGCTTGTCCATTTTTGATGCCAACGAAGATGGATTTGAAAGCTATGATGACCTGCCGCAGCACAAAGTAACATTTTTTAGGTAAAATTTCATTCTGATTCATTGTAAAGTGTAAATTGGAAGATGATCTGCTTTGGAGAGATTTTAAAATCTCATGGAGATTTTTCTCTTTCTTATGAAGTAGGCTTCTTCTACCCACAAGTTTGGGTTTTTTAATAGTAATTTTATTAAAGATTACAATTCACAACAACAAAAACTAATGCAAACTTTAAAAAAAAAATAAGAAGAACAAAAGTTACAGAAAATAGAAAAAGGAAAGAAAAATAAAGAATATAGCAAAGAAAGAGAAAATAAATATATAGTGACTACCTCTTCATCACAAACAAGTATAAACAATTTTAATAAATTACCATCTTATCTTAGAATACAACAAATGATTTCTTCTTTCCATATCACATCTCTTATCTATAAACAAATCCATAAAACCTATTATCTCAAATCTTGATGTCAGCAAAAGTCATTAAGTGAAGTAGTTCGGTGCGTTGATAATTTTGGTTGTCACTTCCCAGATTTACAACAACCTTTGTGAGGTGTAGTGATCAGGAATATGTACAGTATGTAGAGAAACGTGATTGGAATATATTCTTTCAATTTTTATCATATTGGAGGTTTGATATTCAGATCCTTTTGCCAGTGTTCTTGGACATCTGATTTAATAATCATGATATTTTTCTTGCGCAAACCCCAATGTGAATTTGGATGGATGAATTTGACCTAGGATATATTAATTTAAATTTGCTTAAATTAAGTTGAACTTTCCATTTGTTCTTCCTGTTACTATAGATGGATAATTCTAATCCTCAAGATTCCTTTTGGCCGTCCTTCTAAGCCCCTTCTAAGTGCTCAAAATTGTCTGCAGTTTTATTCTCCAAAATCATGTCCAAAAAACCAATTTCTTTTTTAATATTTGAGATTGTGAAATTTATACAATGGCACCTGCTCCATAAAAATAGCACAAACTTAAAAGTAATGCAGGAAATGTTTGTAGCCTGAAATTCCACTTGTGTTAGCAGTGGCAAATGACATTTTTCTGGGTGGTGTAAGACCTGGTTCCTCTGGTGGAAAGGACCTATCCTGCCAATACAAGGGCTGCATTCTTGGAACAAAGCCAGAGTTTATAGCCGAGTCTGGTCTCTGCTTAGCTGCCCAATGTATATTTTTCAAGCTGCTTAGGTTTGTTTTGGTGAAGGAACAAAAGACCTTGTAAATAAACAAACACACATAATATTCTGTCCTCACGGCCATCATTCACTTTCCCTAACTTACTCCACTGTGGCTTTAGTATCACCACTTCCTTTGAGTTTTTTCATTGCAAAAGAACAAATCTTTATGTGTATTGCCTTATTATATGGGAACTGTTCTATGTATATTACTCCTAGGCTTTAGGTTTGTATTTTTCTGTAATAAATAGCAAGTGTACAATTGATCAAAAAATCTACAACATCACATTCTCTTTTCAGTGTATATGATCGAAAAGGTCATCTATGTCCATTTGATACCGGTCTCATAGAAAGGAATATTGAACTCTACTTCAGTGGTGCTGTGAAGCCAATATATGATGATAACCCTTGCCTGGATGGTAAGAGAAATAGGGGCTTGCTTAGTGCAAGGTTAAGGAAATTTGAATCTTAGTTCTTTATCAGTGACCATAAAAATTACAGTGTGGTGGCAATTTTGCAACAGTTTTAGGAACCATGCTGCATAGTTAGATTGTGCACTTTTTCTCCTAAAAAAAGCAAAGACATAACAAGGTTATTTGCATACACAAAGTTGTATTTGGTGATACACATATATCTGATTTGATAAGTTATAAAAATTCAGAAATGTTACTAATATTCAAGAGACGTGGAATAAATATCAAAACAACATTAATAGTTGGGAAAACCATGGCAATGGGCTAAATCTCCTTTATATTTCTGTTACTGTTGTAGGTGGTGTCCGAGCCAAAAAAATGGGCCCCATCAACGCTTGGTGGATCACTGGTTTTGATGGAGGGGAGAAAGCTTTAATTGGCTTCACCACAGGTAAGGTCAAGTTGGCAGAGGTTAATTCCCAGAAGTGTCAATTGTGTTTCTCTTACATGCTGGGTTCAGAGTGCATTAAGATGCAGTCAGGCAGACAAAATTGAATCTGGCTGAACCAAAACATTCTTTTACATTCTGTTGCCCTGCCCCAACACACATTCCACATTGATATCTGTTTAAATGCTATATATTAGAAGTCTCCTCAATTCACAATGATTTTGCCACACTGCATTTGTTTTATCCGATGAAGGTACAGTGCATGCTACCAGCTTGATATGTATGTTCTTTGAGAAAGGTACAAAGCAACTGATTGCAATCCATGGTTTTAAATAATAGGCTACGTTCCTAGTTGTGTGTATGTTCCCACCCAGGTTCCATTAACTGGACATGCATTTGCACTATGTTCTAGCCTTTGCAGATTACATCCTGATGGAACCCAGTGACGAATATGCCCCCATCTTTGCACTGATGCAAGAGAAGATTTACATGAGCAAGATTGTTGTTGAATTCTTGCAGAACAATCCTGATGTCAGCTATGAGGACTTGCTGAATAAGATAGAGGTTAGTCTGACTAAGCAGGGAAGCTCCATTTTTTTATGCAGTGTAAAAAAAATGCCAATATATTACTTGTTCTCAGAAGGCATAAACCAGGCTATGACATTATATATACCATGCAACATTCAGCTTATCAGATTGTTGCTTCCCAAATGTAGAAAAAGAGACCTTGACAGAAATATGCAAGAACTGCTACCTGGGGGAAAAGGGCTAAAGGTTGATGTCAGCATCACTAGGTAAACCTGTCTAGAAAGTCAATACTATAGGAAAATTATAATTTATTGCAACAGCCTATAATAGCAGAATCCTACAAGTCTGATTGAGGTTTCTCATATACCAGTGAATAGGGGAAACATTTGCCTGAGCCACTTCCAAATATTATTTTGATTCCCATGACTTAAAGAATGTTTCAGCCTCAGATCATGGAATGCTGTGTCATCAATTAGGGAAAAAAGAGCATATGAATAGTATATGCTCCTTGTTTCAAAACTCTTGATATCCCATAAATCTGGAGTAGGGAGGTTGTTTCCCTTCAGATTTTGCTGAACAACAGCTTTCTGCAGCCTTGACCCATGCTCTAAGGAGTGCTTGGAATATGATTTCAGTAATATTTGATAGGCCTTTGTTACTAATAAACATTTACAAAAACTGTCTGGTGCAGTTGTTAAGGCACCAACTTAAGGCAAGAAACTAAAAGACAATAAATTCTAGTCCTGCACAAATCCAAATGGATTGGATTGAATGATCTTGAGCCAGTCATTCTCTCTCAGCCTAGGAAAAATGAAAGGGCAAACCACTTCTTAAAATGTTATCAATAAAGCTACATGTCCAATCAGTCAAGAGTAGTCAAGATTGACTCAAAGGGACCAAAAATAATAATATACATCATAACAACTTGGGGTAGGTTTTTTTAATCAACTGAATTTTGCTACAATAGTAGTCTATTTCTAAAAGTTTACTTTCATTAAATAGTTGAAGATTCCATTGTGTTGCTAATTGAATTGGGCGGTTGCAAAATGGTATCAAGCTTATTTTTTCCTGATATACTGTAGTTTAAAAGCATAAGTATTTGGGGTCACAAAGTTACTGAATGCAAATATCCTGCTTTTTCTCTTAGGGAATTGAAGGCAGTATATAAGGCAGTTTTTCTGCTTATATCTTACAACATTCCTGTGTGTTGGACACACCTGAGGGGAAAAAACACCTGGGAAAATGGGGATTTGAACCTGTGTTTCTTCAATCCTGGTTCAGTAATGCACCCTCTCCTTCCCAAGGCCTTTGAAGATCAGGAATCTTAGAAAATAGATGGAACCTCTGATGGTAGGGAGGTTGGTAGGAGGCAGCTTATATATGCCTTTCCTCCTGCAAAGCCTATCTGAAAACCATAGTTAGGCTCCTGTTTCTGATTTTCTTCAGACCACGGTTCCTCCTGCTGGATTGAACTTCAACCGTTTCACGGAAGATTCCCTTCTGCGACATGCCCAGTTTGTAGTGGAACAGGTGGAGAGCTACGATGAGGCTGGGGATAGTGATGAGCCTCCAGTCCTTATCACACCTTGCATGAGGGACCTGATTAAGCTGGCAGGAGTCACCTTGGGAAAAAGGTAGGAGGGCAATTGGGCTGTGTGTGGGTTTGCTGGCTCCAGGAAAATGTCTGTCTTGCAACAAAATACATTCTCTGCATTGGTCTGGCTTTAAGTGATGGAAAATTCTTTACCACGAACTGCAAGGTTTTACTGATAGTCTTACAACCATTATTAGTGACCATTCAAAGTTACAATGGCACTGAAAAAAGTGACTTATGACTGTTTTTCACACAACCATTGCAGCATCTCCTGGTCATGTGACCAAAATTCAGAGGCTTGGCAACTGGCATTTATTTATGACGGTTGCAGTGTCCTGGGGGTCATGCGATCACCGTTTGCAATCTTTCTGACAAGCAAAGTCAATGGGGAAGCCAGTTTCACTTAACAACTGTATTATTAACTTAGCAATTGCAGTGATTCACTTAACAACTGTGGCAAGAAAGGTGGTAAAATGGGGCAAAATTTAACAATTGTCTTGCTTGGCGATGCAATTTGGGGCTAAATTGTGGTTTTAAATTGAGGACCAGCTATATCACGCTGAAACAATTTACGTAATTTATTCAAAACTAACTCCTGTACATTCAGAGCAAGAATTCTTTATGGCCAGGTAAAGATCCAGCTTCCCACTGATCAGCTGTATGGAAGTTGGGAAAATACTGGACAAACTGGACAATTTGAGGAAAATCCCCCCATCCCCCAACATTTTTGCCTTCCTATCCTCAAAATGGTAAAAAATTGTAAAAAATGTTTGAAATGATACGTGAACTGCCCAACATGTATATTGGTCAACATCTGAAAATAGATCATGTCATGAAGTGAACTAATTTATGAAAAGAAAAGCTTATCTCAGAAAAAACTTCAGTTTTCAGAAGTCTGCAAAGAGGATAAAGTGAAAAAAAGTATAGAAAGAAGAGTAGTAATACAGTGCTTTTGATTGAGGATAATGCAGTTTGAGCCAGCATTTTGTTAGGGAAAAATACATAAATTGAATTTTGCTTCCTCCATTCCCTGTTTTTTCAAATACAGAAAATTATGGCTCTTTGTAGCTATTTTATACTCTAAAGGATAAATTCCAAAACATGTAATTTCCTTTCCTTTTCTCTATATTGATGGTTTCTTCTGTTTTCAGCAAAAACCTCTTGCCTGTCTGCTTTGCCTAAGACATAGACAAAAATGAAGAGCCAGCTATAACTCCTTTTAGTGCAAAATTTGAAATCATTCAACCAATTTTCAGTCAATGAGTTTACAATTCTGTGCAAATAGTTTGTTTTACTTAATACTCCAAACTACTTTAACAAGCAAATTAGACTATATGTAGTGTTATAAAGTAACAACGTAGTGATAAAAGATGCTAAAATGTAAAAATTGTTTATCGTATATATTTTAATATTATTCTAAATATACTTATTTTTAAGAAATAACTCCTTTTTCTCCTTGCTTCAAGGTTTCTAGAAATGTTGCATGTCCAGTGAAGACAGGGTCTTCCAATCATTTTGAAACAGTGTTTCTAGTGTTTCATTTTGTCCTGGTGCTGCCCAGTATACTGTATCCAGATAAATCTGGCAAGGACCTAATTCTTCCCTGTTGCTTCCTCTCTCCAGACGAGCTGCGAGGAGACAGGCTATCAGGCATCCCACCAAAATTGACAAAGATAAAGGGCCTACCAAGGCCACCACAACCAAGTTGGTCTATTTGATCTTTGACACTTTCTTCTCTGAACAAATTGAGAAGAATGAAAAAGAAGAAGACAAGGAGAATGCTGCAAAGCGGCGGCGCTGTGGAGTCTGTGAGGTAGGAGGATTAGGTGGAGGAGGCTGGCATTCAGATGAAAAAGTCTTTACTTCTTCTACTCCTTTCTGATCCCCCCCCTCTTTTTTTTCCCCTATTAAGCATATTTACATTTTGGTATCAGATAATTTATTTTATATTTTACCACTGCATTCCTTCTAGACAGAATATCCCAAATTCTGCCAGCATTCAGTGGTAACGTTCACAATAGAGTCCACATATTTAGGTCATCTTTTCTGGAATTTTCCTTATATGTTGCACGAATTTGAAGCATGATGGTTGATTTGGATCGTGAGATTTTAGCCAGTCCTCAAAGCATACAGTAGTACTCATTCAATGACTGTTTCCATGTGAAGGAAGTTAGGCCATCTTCAGAACATTTCCTTCTTGATCCAGTTGCATGCTTTTTTTTGTTTCTTTTTCCAGGTTTGCCAGCAGCCAGAGTGTGGTAAATGCAAAGCTTGCCAAGATATGATTAAGTTTGGAGGGAGTGGAAAGTCAAGACAAGCCTGCCTACATCGGAGGTAATTATTATTTTTATTTTCATGAGCCAATATTGAGGGCAGAGCAGCTGCTAGTTCCTCAGTTTAAGTGTTAGCAAGCAAGGGAAAGGCAGTCTGAGAAGCCTTCCATTAATTGGTTTACAAATAAGTTTGTTTCTGGACTTCATAGCTATAACTACTTTGAAGAAGACAGGTTCTGGAATTCTGACATCCCCACCCCAGAGAATCCTGTTTACACTGAATGATTGGGGCCGGTAGGGAAGCAGAATATATTCTGTTTCACCAGGCTCTTGGCAACAGATGGTTTATGAACATTTTTCCCACCTTCCAGACATTTATGACTACAAGACTCGAAATGGGAGCATTCCTTGCTCATCTAAAGCAGTGTTCCTCAACCTCGGCAACCTTAAAATGTGTGGACTTTAACTCCCAACCAGCAAACGTATAGAACTTGGTGGCTCTTCTTTTGGGAGAGTAGAGGCTAAATTGCTGGGCTCTTTAGTTGCCAACTTCATATACATTTTTGTCTTAACTTCAGGTGTCCCAACCTAGCTGTAAAAGAAGCCGATGAGGATGAAGAAGTAGATGATAACATTCCTGAAATGCCCTCCCCAAAAAAGATGTTGCAAAGCAGGAAAAAAAAGCAAAACAAGAATCGAATTTCCTGGGTGGGAGACCTTATCAAGGTATGGTCTCTGTATGAGAAATAGCAATTAGAATTTAGTTCAACTTTGAGCTGTGCCAGGGGAAAGATCCTCTTCAGTTTCACAGCTGTTATCCCAGTTTTGTGTAAGTGGATAGAGAAGTAGACAACATGTATAGGGGGGCTGATAGTCCTAGGTAGTGATCCACATCATTTGCAGTTGAGATCCAGTTTTTACCTTTTTAAAAGGAGGAGGAGTGTTAAGGATATTGTTGTGTTACCAACCAGCAGAGTAAATGCACAGAGAAACGGTACTGAGAGCAATGAATACAATACATACAAACTGGTTTAACAAAGCTTTTACTTTGTAGTGAAAAAACAGTTGCATAGTCTTTTAGTCAATCCAAGACTTTAGCCATTCAAATCAGTCCGAAGTTACAGATATCTTCTTAATTACAGCAGTTGGTAATAAACAGCAATTCAACGCTGGTAACAAATCACGATGGTAGCATATCCATCCACGATGAGAACTCCTTCATATACAACAGTAACAGTTCCAATCAACAGTTCCAGTCAAGCAGCAAGTCAAGCAATGATGAGAGCAGGTCCAACAATGACTATAGCTCGGCTTCCTTCTTATATACAGTTTACACTAGTAATTATCCACTTAAGATAAGTGAAGTCAGCAGTGCAATGACTCAACAGTACAATTATGATAATTGCAGTCAGCATTCAGTCAGCAGTCATTAGTCATTACAATGACTCAGCAGTACAATTACTCAGCATTACATTTAAAGTTACAGAATACATTTAAAGTTATAGAACACATATATTGCCTGGACAACTTGTTAGATTTACACCATATCCTAACAAGGAGTAGCAGCAGGAGCAGTATTTCCATAAAGACTAGATGCCTGCTTCTATCACAAAAAAATTATCTCAGCGGTTCAGAAAAATGAAGGCCTTTACTTCTGATCAGATTTTTTTTTTCATTTGTATGAATGAAATACCAAGGCAAACTCATAATTCCTTTTCTGCTGAGATATAGTGATAGCGAGAGAGCAAATATGGCTGAAGTCTTACTGTGCTTTCTTTTTCCTGTTATCACTTTTGGTTTGTTGTTATCTGCAGAGCGATGGCAAGAAAGATTATTACCAGAAAGTATGCATTGATTCAGAGACACTGCAAATTGGTGATTGTGTTTCTGTGAGCCCTGATGACCCCACAAAGCCTCTATATCTTGCAAGGTATGTCTGCGTGGAGATAAATGCATGTGCTTCTGAACCAAGATAGACCTAAAGGCAAAGGCATTGAACCTGGGCTGATTTCAGACTTTTAGGGTTTTTTTATAAAAGCTATCCAAAGATTGTGGTGCTTGTCTATAATTGGCGCAGAGGGGAGGCTGTAATCCTGCGTACCTGAAATGAAGCCCTAATGGGCACATTTACTTCTGAGGAAATACTGCATGCACAAATAAAGCATATTACATAGATTTAAAAAACCTTGTATGCTTGTATGTTTTGTATTATATTTCATTTCTTCATATGTCTTTCAAAGATATTACCTATACTGATCATTGCATTTTGCTTTTTGATAGTCAGAAAATGACTATCACAATGACAATCAGTCATTGTGTAACTGATTGTATACATCATACTAAGCCATGGCTTCTTTAAACTGGGATGGAGACTTTGCAGAAGCTACTGTGACCTGGATTTATATACAGTATCACTCTTAAATCGAAATCAAATCAAATCTTATTGCAACTTAGTACAATGGGCAGACCAGATTTCATATCTGAAACATTTGCAAAGAAGTGGTTGTGAAACTGAGCAGTAATCCAGAAAGCCCTATATTTCATGCCTCAGTCCTAGACTCCCTGATGTAAACCCTCTTCTCTCAGCCTCAGCATATGGCAATCCGATATGCTGGTTTATGGGCCACAGTAGGAAAAAACAGCCCTGTCCTTATACAACTATCCAGAAAGAAGGATAGACAGTATGGTATGCCTCCCATGCACAAGCTTGTGTGGTAAGATTCGGAAAGCCTTGTACTCCCAAGCCTTAGTGGTCTTCCAAGTATTGCCAGCCAAACATTCTTCTGGAAAGGGTTGTATGATCTGATTCCCAAACAATGGGAAATCGTTCAAGTAAATTTTGACATTTGTATTCTGCTTGAATTAATGTCCTACCCCATCCCCTAGAATCACGGCCATGTGGGAAGACCCCAGCGCTGGACCAATGTTTCATGTTCACTGGTTTTGCCGTGGCACCGACACTGTATTGGGAGCAACATCTGACCCACTGGAACTTTTCTTGGTGGACGAATGCGAAGATATGCAGCTGTCTTACATCCATGGCAAAGTCAATGTTCTTTATAAGGCTCCTCCAGAGAACTGGTCTTTGGAGGTATGTTGAATCATCTCACTACTTGGGCATCTATTTATTCACAGTGTTTAATTGTTAGGGTTATATCCCACCTTTCATACACTAGTTCAAAGTAGTATATAGAGCACACCCTTCTCCCTCCCCTCCCCCCCAACAGTAAAAGAAGGATTGTCTTTCTGAGTTCGTGGTTTTTCTTTGTGTATGTGTGTGTTTCTTTTTTTTTTTCTTTTGTCAGTTATAGGGTGGATGGTGATGATGCTATGATAGCAGTGGAAGAAAGAGATTTCACTTTTCCTTTTTATAAAATCACTTTGTGGAGATGATGGACAGAGTAAAGGAAGCATATGAAGGCTTTCTGGAGATTGCTCTGTGTTTGATACCTGGGTGCTTAATTCTGGGAATGTGATTCGGGAGTTGTACTGATAAACTTCAGTGCAGGGTAGTGATGACGTTTCAGAGACTGTATCTTCCCTGGTCTGACTCAGTAGCAAGTCACAGCCCAAGGAACTGACTGACCTCTTCCATACATCTCTTCTTCTTTAGCCTGGCTCCAGTCTTTTAAGGCAGAGCTTGGCAGGCTTCCTTTGCTTGCAACCCCTGACACCATAGCCATTGCAATTTGGACCCCTGCCCTTCTTATGGATGAGTATGGCTACTGACAGCAGTTACCTCTGCCCTTTTTTTAGCCCACAAATTGGCCTTATCCTGTGGCACTCTTCTGTGGAATTGCTGTCGGGATAAGTTCAAAGTGGATGCAATTGGGAGCTGATAGCTACAGTCAGTAAGAGATCAAAATACTTACAAGTCCTGGCAGAGGAATCAGATACGAAGTGGATTTGGTGAGCTTTGCTGGACTGTGCACTGACTCTTGAGTTGCTCATTCTGATTCAATGCAGAAATCAATTAATTCTAATAAGGTAGTCTTTGACTTATGACTGGTTGCTTAGTGAGCATTCAAAGTTACAACAGAACACCCAAAAAAGTATGACCTGACTCTGATGATCCCCCACGCCCAGCAGTCGCATTCTGGGCTGCTCGGCAGCTGACTCACGTTTATAGCTGTTTGTGACATCCTTTGGTTATAGCAATTTACATTTTTGCTGAAAACCAGCATTCATTTTCTGGTTTTCTGCAAAAATGCCCCATAGCAAACAATGGGTTTTTCTTAATGACTGTCACATTCATTTAAAGACAGCTGATTCATTTAATGAACATGGTTGATTCACTTAACAACCACAGCCACAAAAAATAAAAAAAATAAAATAAAAATTGGGTGAATCACACAAGGCTCCAGACCTCTACCTCACTTCTGGAACTTTTCTCTTAACTGCGGTAGGTTCTGTGTCTAATAATTGAATAATCGGTATGAATTTTTTCTTCCTTTCTCCTCCTGCTGCCTCAAATATTCTCATAGGGAGGACTTGATGTGGAGATCAAAATAGTGGAAGATGATGGCAGAACCTATTTTTACCAAATGTGGTATGATCAAGAGTATGCTAGATTTGAGACTCCACCAAAGATCCAGCCCACAGAAGACAACAAACACAAGTTAGTACCCATGATCAAGTGTCATGGGAGCCTGAAGATAAAGTAGAAAATCAATAAATGTACAGATTTCTACTTAATCCTAAATCTACTTGGGACTGTGTCTGCATTAGGCTCAACTCAAGAGTTGCAAAATAGTGCGCAGGCATTCAGTCTCAAGAACGGTTAATCTGATTACACTCAACTTTCTCCCAAAGATAGCAGGGATGAAGAAATGAGCATTTATATTTTTGAAAATATACACATAGTTCCATTCTTAAGCTCCTTGTGAAATGGATAACAAAAAAAAAAGTAAAACACAGTTTTGTATGAGATTACTTGAAGCATTAGAAAGCAAAAAGAGCAATTGGTGGTAAATCAAGTAGCATTAACAAGAGATGAAGATATATAGATTTTAAAAATGCTCATATACTGCATGATATCAGTTGGTGGTGGTGCTTTAGATGCTTTGAATTGCTTGCATAGACTCAAATGCAGGGGAAGGGGAGAGGGTTGGGAGGTAGTGAGGTGATTTCATGATATTATAGTTTCCCCAATCCAAAACAGGCCTCTGCTTCTCTCCCAGGTTTTGCATGAGTTGCGCTCATTTGGATGAGGCAAGGCAGAAGGAGATCCCCAAAGTATCTGAGTCTCAGGAGGAATCAGAAGGAAAAATGTTCTACAGCATGGCAACAAAAAATGGGGTGCAGTACCGATTGGGAGACGGAGTTTTCCTTCTACCAGATGCCTTCCATTTCAGGTTGGTTTGTAAGTTGATTTCAGCTGGAACAAGAGGGGGCTTTGTTTTGGGAGGGCTGGGACACCAACTCAAGAAAAGGATCAGTGATGCCCAAAGAGACAAACACATTTTAAAATAGTGTATAATTTGGGGCTTACTAGTTCAAATATTATGTCATAAGGAGAGTTAAATTTATTTCATGAGAGAATTAAATTGATATTCACTTAAGGCTCCACTGTTGTAGCAGGATATATTTATCAGAAGTGTTAAGAGAATTTTCAGGTAAGCGGGGTGGATATAAGTTCAGTCAGTTGAATAGCAAACTGATGGGGCATTTCCATATTTTAAGTAATTCAAGAATGCAATTAGTCTGGTTAAAGTAGGAGATGATAGAAGAATTGATTTACCAATCAACTGTCTTGGAAATCAGTTATCTGCCTCCAAATATATGCATAAATCATTTGAGTAGATGTCCATGGCCAGTTCACAGAATCTTTTCCTTTCTCATTTTTCCCTCTCACTAGCCTGAGGCTGACCAGCCCGACCAAACGTCAAAAGAAGGAAGCAGTGAATGAAGAGCTTTATCCTGAACATTACCGAAAATATTCTGAGTATATCAAAGGGAGCAACCAAGATGCACCTGAACCATACCGCATTGGCAGAATCAAGGCAATCTACTGCAACATCCGCAGCAGTGGCAGGCCCAACGAAGCTGAAATTAAACTGCAAGTGTACAAACTTTACAGGTAAGTGGCCATTAGAATCTTGTTGACACCTGAGTAGAAAATAATTTCCCGTTGGCCTCCTCGTGTCAAGAAGAGTACCAGAAAACAGAATGATAAACTTAAGTAGATGCATGATCCACACAGAACTGGGTTTCTGTATGCATATCACTAGATGGAATGATGTGTCAGTAACTCAGGGCGAAGACTTAGCAGCCTGGGCTCTATCTGTGGAGCTGAACTCTGTTGAATAAACCAAATGGGTCACAAAGCAGCTACAATGATTTGATGACCAGGGCAGACTAAAAACAGAATAAGTTAGCTCTGGGGTTTTCAAAATGTGTTTGAATTTGATGGGTTCCATGAGACTGAGGGCCAAAAAGAAAAAAAAAGGTTCGCACAAACACGGTCAAGTGTATCTATAGGAATTTTCTAAGGTACAGTGGAACTAGCAAAGGTTTATTTATTTATTAAATTAAATCACCTTACATTCAGAAACCCTCTCCCATGTTTGTGTTCATGACATTGTTTTGCTTCATGTTCTGAGAATTGGGGTGTTGTTTTTTTTAACTAATAGCTTCCGTGGTTTCAAAAACTTAGGCAATACACTAGGTAGAATCTAAACAATTATAATAATAGGATATCTTATAAAAGAAAATATTACCAAGCATTTTCCCCCTCTTTCTCAGTTTGTCTCATTTCAGGAATTTTGAACTGGACTGGGAGAGAGTTTACCTCTGCCTACCAAAGTCCTCCCTTTGATTCTAAGCAAACAATAGACTTATAGAATGAGCGTGCAATCTGAGGTCCCAGGTCTTCGGCCAACTTCCTTTTTTTTTTTTAAGCCTCCAGAGCTAAGCAGTTACACTACCCCCCCCCCCCCAAAATGAGGTTGTAGTTTCCTGCCAGTTGGGTTAATGCATAGATATGTCCTAGAGCCGTGATGGCGAACCTATGGCACGTGTGCCACAGGTGGCACGCGGAGCCATATTAGTGGGACGCCAGCTCAGCTCTGGGGCGCATGCGCGCGCCGGCCAGCTGATTTTTGGGCTTTCTGGGCCCACCAGAAGTAGGGAAACAGGCTGTTTCCTGCTTCTGGAGGGCCTCGGGGCGGGGAAGGCCCGTTTTTCTTTCTTACCTGGCTCCAGATCCTCTCTGTGTATCTGGGAAGGGCGAAAACAGCCTTTCCCACTCCCTTGGAGGCCCTACGGAGGCTGAAAGGGCCCATTTCCCGACTCCCGGTGGGACAGGAAGTGACGTTTTTTCCTGTTCCCCAGCCTCCAGAGACTCCTAGAGAGGCTCCTACAGACTCCTAGAGAGGCTCCTAGAGACTCCTAGAGAGGTTCTGGAGGCTGGGGACAGCAAAAAATGTCACTTCCTGTCCCACCAAGACTTGGGAAATGGGCCCTTTCAGCCTCCGGAGAGCGAGGGAGAGAGAGACCAGGCCATCATGTGCCAGGAGCGGGGGGGAGGGGGTTGCGCACGCACAACCCTCCCCCGCCCCCCCTCTCCTGGCACGTGATGGCAAAAAGGTTAGCCATCACTGTCCTAGAGCCTGTTTTTTAAGGATTGCCTGAAAATTGGCTTAATATAATATTTTGAAACAACAGCCATGTGAAACTAATTAACAGTGCTTTAAAATCCTGTCTTCATTACTTTGCATCATCACCCTTAATTGGTGTAGCTCTTCAGGACCCACAAACACTTAAATAAGTCTGAATCTCTTTGTTATATACAAATAGGAGGGAAATAATCTGAAATGCAATGTATTCTTCAGTGATTATATTTTCTTAAAGAGGATTTAAGGGTCTCTGAACCCTGCTTCCATCACCATACTATAGAATAGAATAGAATAGAATAGAATAGAATAGAATAGAATAGAATTCTTTATTGGCCAAGTGTGATTGGACACGCAAGGAATTTGTCTTTGGTGCATATGCTCTCAGTGTACATAAAGAAAAAATAAAATATATTCGTCAAGAATCATAAGATACAATACTTAGTGATAGTCATAGGATACTAAAAAGCAACCAAATCATACTAGGAAACAATAAAAACAATATAAGTTGTAAAGATACAAGCAACATGGATATAGCCATAAGTGGGAAGAGATAGGTACTAGTAAGGATGAGAAGAACTACAGTCTTAGTAATTAATTTGACAGTGTTGTGTGAATTAGTTGTTTAGCAGAGTGATGGCATTCAAGAAAAAACTGTCCTTGTGTCTAGTTGTTCTGGTGTGCAGTGCCCTATAGCGTCGTTTTGAGGGTAGAAGTTGAAATAATTTATGTCCAGGATGTGAGGGGTCTGTAAATGTTTTCACAGCCCTCTTTTTCACTCGTGCAGTATACAGGTCCTCAATGGAAGGCAGATTGGTAGCAATTGTTTTTTCTGCAGTTCTAATTATCTGTTGAAATCTGTGTCTGTCTTGTTTGGTTGCAGAGCCAAACCAGACAGTTATGGAGGTGCAGATGACAGACTCAATAATTCCTCTGTAGAATTCCTCTTTTTAACTCATTGCTTGTCTACATGAGAAAAACTCCTTGCTTTTCCATTGTGTAGGTGTTCCTGGGTTTGATGCCTTATCTCCCTCAACGAAAGTGTCTCTGTTGTCTTTCTAGGCCAGAAAACACACACAAATCAGTCAAAGCCAGCTACCATGCAGATATCAACTTGCTCTATTGGAGTGATGAAGAAGCAACGGTGGAGTTTAAAGACGTGCAGGGCCGCTGCACAGTGGTGTATGGGGAGGACTTGACAGGAAACATCCAAGATTACTCTGCCAGTGGCTCCGATCGGTTCTACTTTTTAGAGGTGGCTTTTTCCACTATGTCATTGGCCCTGTGCAATTTTTCATCAGTATATTCTCCAACACAATGGAGGTTTTTAAGAAAAGATTGGACAACCATTTATCTGAAATGGTATAGGGCAGCAATTCTCAACCTGGGGGTCACGACCCCTTTGGGGGTTGAACGGCCACTTCACAGGGGTCGCCAAAGCCCTCTCTCGCCCCCCCCCCCCCAGCCTTCACTCACCCTCATTCTCTGCTCTGTTGCATCGCTGGCCGTTCGCTTACCCCACCCACTCCCAATCTATTGCTGCCTCCTGAGTCCCTGCTGATGGCTAGAGGAAAAAAAACTGTTTAAATTCTTGCCGCGGGGCTTCAAAGGGCCGCCCTATAGCCAGTGGTGCAGCCGAACCGTTTGTTAAATTGCTGGCTTGCCCCGCCCCTCCGCACCATTATTTATTGCCAATAAATAGTAGTGGGCGAGGGGCGGGCGAGCCAGCAATTTAACAAATGGTTCGGTGTTTTTTTGTAATTTTATTGGCCTGCGGAGCTTCAGCATAGGCTAATTAGCCCTTGATTAGATCGGCTCCCGACTCAGCTGTTTTGCGGAGGGCTCTGCTGCTTGTTTGCAAAGAGTGCTGGAGCAATTTTTTTTCCCCCTAGCTATGCTGAAAAACAAAACTGAAAGTAAAGCAGGATGTTGGCTTTGTTGTTGCTGCAACGTTGGAAAATTAGGCAGGCAAATTTCTTTTCTTTTTCCTCACCAAAAAAGGTAGGTGCAAACAATGGGAAATTTAGGGAAAAAGAGGAGAGTTCAAGATTTTAAACCACAAAAGAAAAAAAGCTCTATTTAACTAGGGAATTGTAATCATTGAGATACTATTAATTGTATATTGTGTTGAAAGCAGAAATGGTTAAGTTGTGGTTTGGAGGAATATATGGGGGAAATTATTTGGTTTATTATTATTGTAAATATAATTAATTGATTTGTAAGAAATTGGATTGCATGGAAATAATTGGAATATTCATGTTCATATTGATTAATATACAAAAAAGGTAGTTATATAACTAATTGATTTATATTAAAATGTTGAATTTATATTAAATAACTGTAATATTACATAATTAACCAATGTGAGGATGGATATAAAAATAGATGACAATGGGAAGGAGTATAATATAGGATAGAAGGGAAAAATTGAATTTGATTAAGATTAGAGATGAGGATGAAGGGTAATATTGGTTTTTTACAAAAATAGATGAGGAATAAATATGGCAAAAAGAAAATATAGAAATTGTAAATTTAATTGAAATGACTAAACACTATTTAAATTTGTGAACCGGCCAAATACTCTGTTCAAAAAAAATACATTGTATGTTTGTATGTGTGTCTCTAATTATTGTTATTTATTCATATTTGTTCTCTTTTATTCTTTAAAGTTTAACAATTCATTCTTTATCTTAATATCTTTATATTTGTTTGGGGTTGGCTTTCTTCCCTTTCATCTTTTTTATTGTACAGCAATCTTTCTCCTCAAACCTACCACCTCTTTTCTTTCCTTCTTACTTTTTCTTCCTCCCCCTCTTCTTCTCTTCCCTACTTCCTCTTCCTTTCTCCTTCTCCTCTCTTCCTCCCTCTCTTACCCTCACTCCTACTCTAATTTCCCTTCCCTTCCTTCACCCTACTCTAATTTCCCTTCCTTCACCCCTCTCTATTGCTGTATCCTTTTATGCATATGGACTACTCAGAGGGCTGAAAAAGTTATTTCTGACTGGTCCTCGCACTTTTGACCAGTCCTCGAACTTACGACTGTCCTCACATTTTACGTTTTTGCCCTATCTTGTCACCATGGTGAAGAGAAGCAGTTGTGAAATGAGTGACATGGTTGTTAAGAATGCTACAATGGGCATAAATGATGACCAGTCATAAGTGCGAAGACCGGTCAAAAGTGCAAGGACCTGTCAGAAATGACTTTTTTCAGCCCTCTGGGTAGTCCCTATACACATAGCCATGGCCAACCGGTCACATGACCAGCTAGCCACACCCACCCAGTCACATGACCTCCAAGCCATGCCCACAAAATAAGCCACACCCACAGAACCGGTAGTAAAAAAAATTTAGAACCCACCCCTGGTTAGGGGTCACCACAACATGAGGAACTGTATTAAAGGGTCACGGCATTAGGAAGGTTAAGAACCACTGGTATAGGGTTTCCTGCTTGAGCCGGGGGTTGGACTAGAAGATCTCCAAGGTCCCTTCCAATTCTGTTATTCGCAAGTGGATGTCGTATCAGCAAGTGTTGCTATAGATGTCGCTGGCTGATATTTGAACTTTAGATTACCTCCTCCTGCTTTGGAAGAGGAACATTAATGAAAGCCCAGTTGCCCTCTCACAATAGAAATTCACTCCAGCCTACAGGTCATCCTATAAATGCTGCCTAAACTTCCCAACTGTTTTCTGAAATCTATAAGAAATTATTAGAACTGTCTTTGATGTGAATTATTTTTTTTCCCTTTTAATTTCCAGGCATATAATGCAAAAACAAAAAGCTTTGAAGACCCACCTTATCATGCCCGTAGTTCTGGAAATAAAGGGAAGGGGAAAGGGAAAGGGAAAGGTAAGTGATTAGTTGTTAAATGGTTTAAATCTTTGGTGAATTACCCAAGGCCAGCAATATCTCCCCTGTAGAAAAGAATAAGATGCTGAACCAGGTCAGTGCAAATCCTGCAGATCAAAGAACTTGGGCTTTGATAGGCTTTTGAGCGCAGTTCAAGGTGCACGTTACTTTGGCATTGGGCCTAGCTGTCTGAGGAACCGTCTGTCTGCAGTCGTTTTTGCCCATTCTGTACAATCAGACAGGCTGAGCACACTCTACGCCCCATCAATCAAACCAGGTCATCTGATGTAAGGCTGGAAGTGGTCAATCTCTGCTATAGGACTTGCCTTCTCAAACAACATCCTCCAAGAGATCCATATGGCCCCTACATCCTGACTGTCTTCAAAAAGTCTTTGAAAACTTGGGTTTTGCCAAGACATTGGGTTAAGATGTTTGATGAACCCCCTTTAGGATTTCATATAGTGGCTGAATGTTTTCTTCTGGGAAGAACTTCATATTCTTTGCTTTATTTTCTTTTGTTTCTATATTGTGGATGGGTGTATGTACGTACATACATACAAATATATTTTAATGCTTTTCACAGTGGTGAAAGGAGCAAAGAGCAGGTTTTCTTGATTACTGAGAACTGGATATATTCATAGTGTGAGTGTGTTGAATATAACTTGCTGATTTCTTCCATTTTATATATATGCCCACATCCCACTCAGAACAGATTTATCATACTTTAGAAAGATATCCATCCAAATAGACTCTTCTGAAGAACTAATCATAGCAATATTGAATGGAAAAGATTTCTTTCTCTTGCTCTCCTTCTCATAGTTCCAAGTTAATATACTTAGCTTACTTAGAAAGTTCACTTTTATTCCTAAAACATACAAATACTGAGAGGAATATTTGCAGACATATTAGGTCCTGTTTGGTTCATTAATTGTAAACAAGTCTTCGCTGTTGCTGATAGAATCTACTCAGCAATAGCATCGACTTGTTTGTAATTAAGCTATCATAGACTTAGATAGCTAAGATTCTAATATTTACTTTCTTGTTTACCATTAAGCTTTCATAGACTACATATTCAATGTTTTTAAGTAGCACTGAAAGAGATTTTTAAAAATATAATCCTGGTATGCTTACTTTGGAAACAAGGCAGCAATTATTAATGCAAAAGGCACATGTACCTTTTCCTCCTCATGCAGGTAAGAGCAAAGGGAAATCTTCAGGAACATCTGAATACAGCGAGTCTGAAGCTGCTGCAATGAAGCCCCCCAAACTTCGAAGTCTGGATGTCTTCTCTGGTTGTGGAGGCTTGTCAGAAGGGTTCCACCAAGCAGGCAAGGCAGTTTGGAAGGATGGTTGAGTGCATGGGAAAGGGGCATGAGCATATGACTTTTACAGCCAAAAAAGTAGAGCCAGTGAGGGTTTCCAGCCCTGTTTTATGGGATGGAAAGAATTTTTTGTGTACTTTTGAGGCTTGGAAGCAAAGCATCTAATATGAATTGTTGTTCTGTTTTCATCATCATGTTGTCTTCAGGAATCTCAGACACTCTTTGGGCCATTGAGATGTGGGAACCAGCTGCGCAGGCCTTCCGTCTGAACAATCCAAGCACCACGGTGTTCACTGAGGATTGCAATGTCCTGCTTAAGCTTGTAATGTCGGGTGAAAAGACTAACTCTCTGGGCCAGAAGCTGCCACAGAAGGGAGATGTGGAGATGCTCTGTGGTGGCCCCCCTTGTCAAGGCTTCAGTGGGATGAACCGCTTCAATTCTCGCACCTACTCAAAGTTCAAGAACTCTCTGGTTGTTTCCTTCCTCAGGTGACTGAAGTCAACGGTTGCATTTTCTCAACTCTCCTTAAGCCAATCCTTATCCTATTGCATGTCCCACCTCCCAGCCTGTTGCCTTCCAGCTGTGTTGAGACCACAACTCATGGGGATACGGTTGGGCAAAGCTGCTATAAACTGGTCTCTAAATCAGAGCTACAGTTTAACAGCATAGTAGAAACATAGACTGTGATGGTAGATGCTGAATCTGCATGTATTACGATGGCAAAGATAATGCCATCGTAATACATGCAGCCCTCCAGAAATTTTGTATCCTGTGGGCAACAATGGGTTGAGATACTGGAAAATATTGTCCTATAGATCTAGAAGACACCAGCATGGGAAAAGACTACTCGAGAGAATGTATGAGATCAGATCTATGTTGGGGTTCTCTTGGGATAGTGGAAGGCTTGTTGGGATATGGACTGGGTCTTTTGTCACAAGTTCTTGAACAAGGACTGTGTGTCTGCTGTTGGGATCAAGGGAGAGTGTAGCTGACCCTCAGTGCTCTTATCTTCTGCAGTTACTGCGACTACTACAGACCAAGATTCTTCCTCCTCGAGAATGTTAGGAACTTTGTCTCATTCAAGCGTTCTATGGTGCTAAAGCTCACCCTGCGGTGCCTTGTCCGGATGGGTTACCAGTGCACTTTTGGAGTGCTGCAGGTATGATAGTCAGCTTTTTTTTTTTTTTAAACTGAGGCTGGGAGTGCACTGAACCATATTTGTGTGCTTTGCAGATTCCACTGGATTTAGAGCTAAAAAGTCACTACCTGTATTTATAATATACTGATTCTTGGGTAGATAATTTTCATGTATCTGGACAAGTGCCAAGTTGAGAAAGCTGAATTTCTGGTGGTTGTCATGATTTCTCAAGTCAATCTTGACTCCAGATGACTGCAGGCTCATGCAGTTTTCTTGGCAAAAATGTGGAAGTGTTTGGAGGGACCTTCCTCCAAGATGTTTTTCAACTTTCCAATGTAAAATTGTGAGGGAATGCCGGGTACCAGTTGGCTTTTATGTCTAACGGAGAACTAGAACTCTCCCTGCTTCTAATCTAGCATTTTCAACCACTGTACAGACTGGCTCTCAAGTAGTTTTTTAGGGGTTGGTTTACAGACTGTGTTCTCAATTATAACAAGCTGCTAAAGAAAGCTGATTTCATTGCCTGGATTATGTCTCCCCTGGGACATCTGGCTGTTGTCTGTTGACAGTAGCATGTCTAGTATGTATATCAAAGTCTTCCAAAGACTGGAATTTTAACGTGCCAGTGTTTTCCTTTTTTATTAGTATTTTATGGAACTAGGAATAGCGATTACCATGCTAATTTAGTACAAAATGTTAAAAAAGGTTGGTTTGTTAAGAAAAATATATTCTCTTTATCAAATAACTTTATTTTCTTCTCCCTCAATTCTTCTCTTCCTCCTTCATCTAGGCTGGGCAGTATGGAGTAGCTCAGACACGCAGAAGAGCAATTGTGTTGGCTGCAGCTCCTGGAGAGAAACTCCCCTTGTTTCCTGAACCCCTGCATGTTTTCGCTCCCAGAGCCTGCCAGCTCAGCGTGGTGGTGGATGATAAGAAGTTTGTTAGCAATATAACAAGGTAATTGCCAACTCTCAGATCTTGATAGTGTTGCTTTCATTGGGGGCTGGAGAATGGGGCCAACAATCTTACAAGAAAAGGAAGTGCATGGCTATGGTCTATTTTTCACACAAATAATCCTGAATAGTGGAGAGTCCCAACCTATCTGGAAAGCTCTTGTGATGTGGAATTGCATCATATTGTAGAAAAAGAGGAGAGTCCAATAACAATCAGCCATTAAGTTATGTTCTTTCAATGTACCCTAGGACTTATTCGGGCCCATTCCGAACTATCACGGTCCGGGACACTATGTCTGACCTTCCTGAAATCAGGAATGGAGCGTCAGCACTTGAAATCTCCTACAATGGAGAGCCACAATCCTGGTTCCAGAGGCAAATTCGGGGTTCCCAGTATCAGCCCATCCTCAGAGATCATATCTGCAAGGTATCTACTCTTACACTGTTTATCTGGTTTGCTGGGGCAAGGTGGGTGGGTATGAGACATCTTTAATATGAAACTGAAAGCAGAATTTCCTAAAATCAAGCACTGTTTGAAGCAACAGCTATTTGCATCCAGGAAGCCCAAGGGAAAAAAGTTCCAATCTTTAGCTATATAGAGAAGTAATTCTGCTCCAAAACTTGGGAAATTACATAGAGTGAGATGCCGAGAACAATGATTGTCTGTGCAAAATTTAGGAAAATTGTCTTATTGAATAATTCCTTATTGGTCTGCAACCCATCACCTGCTGAAAAGATCATTTTCACTCTAACCTGCAAGAATAATTGTAGGAAAACTTTCAGAGTTTTATCACAAAAACGGGAACAAAATAATCATCGGGCAGTCCCCCCCCCCCCAAAAAAAAACAAAAAAAAACACTACCAGATATCTTGTGTTCTCCCTCTCTTTTCCCCTCTCCTTACAAATTTAATCACATTTCTGCCCTTCTGGGAAATGCACTAGAGTAGTACATTTAACATATTGTCAGACATAGGCACTCTGTACTTAACAGAGGTAGGAAGGGGACATCCAAAGTGCTAAGGGTAACTCTGTGCTTTGTCTTATTAGGATATGAGTGCATTGGTAGCTGCAAGGATGAGGCACATCCCACTGGCCCCAGGTTCTGATTGGCGTGATCTGCCCAACATTGAAGTGCGCCTTTCTGATGGCATAACCACCCGCAAGCTACGCTATACACACCATGAGAAGAAAAATGGGCGGAGCAGCACAGGATCTCTGCGGGGGGTCTGCTCCTGCGCTGAAGGTACAACATCTGACTTTTCTGGTTAGAAAGGATGGTTTGACAGGTCATCCAAAGAATAACGGCCATTAGCTCTTCACAATAGAATAATAGCTTTAGAAGAATCCAAATGGTCAGAATCTCTGCAACTTCCTGAAATTTACATCTATGGATTCTGCTGACCCTTTTCTAGTCAACACCGATTTAGAAGTTGGATTTCAGCAGGACATCCAGTCCAACAATTTGTTTTAAAAGTGGCTATTAATCCTAGCATACTTTTTGTTGCTAAGAAGCATTGCATAGCCAAAATGAAGTAAGTGCTACTCAGTGAGAACAGAGAGGGAGATTCTTACTTCCCAAATACTTATCCTTTCAAGTTCTTGCTACATTCCAATTTGGTTCTATTTTGTACCTGATCTAGCAAGACGGGGGAAGTTTTTTGAAGCAATGGGAATCAGCTGGTGTTTGACTTAGATTTACCTGGGATGCAACTTTAACCCCCCTCTGCTCCTTCCTTCATCTTGGGTGTGGGAAGAATTCCCCAGTGCTAGTAGTCCTACTCCTGCTTCTGATGGAGCAAAGCAGACCGAAATGTCAAAGGAAATCCCCAGCCCTACTTTCAGTGAAAATTAAGCCGAATCCTATTCCATCTCCTCCAGGCAAGGCATGTGACCCTGCAGACCGGCAGTTCAACACCTTGATCCCTTGGTGTCTGCCTCACACGGGGAACCGGCACAACCATTGGGCAGGCTTGTATGGAAGGCTAGAGTGGGATGGATTCTTCAGCACGACGGTCACCAACCCTGAGCCCATGGGGAAACAGGTAAGTGAAGGGAAGGGGCCTGGAAGGAGCCCAGTGGCTCATCTTCATACTGATATTCCAGTGATTTCCCTATCCTCCTATTCTCTTTGCATGTACTTTCTTGCTTGTAGCTTCTCTGGCTTTATAGGGAGGCTATATTGAATGCTATTAAGAAAGGCAGAAAACACCAGCATTTAAAGGTTGTTGCTGTCATTTGGACTATGAGGGGAAACTTGCAGAACTGTTACGAACTTCGTGTTGTGCGTCAGTTGATCTGCAGTACACTCTAAATGGGGCTACTCTTGAAGAGTATTCCCAACTGGAACAGAACGCAGCAGTGCGGACTGCTTTTAGGAGCCCCTAGATTCATCCATGTAACCTCACTGTTGCCTGAACTGCATCGGTTGCTGACTTGGTTCCAGGTCCAATTCAAGCCATTGGTTAACACTTGGTTAAAGTCTTTTGGCATGGGCCCAAACTACCTTAGGAACTATCTCACTCCAATGGGATTGTCCTACTGCATTTGGCCCAGAAAAAGAGACATGTTCAGATCCCATCAGCCAAGGAATTTTGGCCGGCAAGGTCCAAAAGAACCTTTTCTGCTGTGGCGCCCACCCTATGCAACATCATGCCCCTTGAGATGAGATGAGTGCCCACCCTTTTGACCTTCTGAGAGGGCCTGAAAACCTGCTTCTGTCAACTGGCTTGGGGTCCCAATGGGAATGCCCCACTCTTTTTCAACTGTGGACGGTTTACAGCATAAAACATTAAAATCATAACATAAATATCTCTAAAACAATCCAGGTAGTAGATTAGAAAAAGATCCCACCTCCACCCTGCTTACATAGTGGTCCCTTTTTATCCAGTTCATTGTTAATTCTAATGTTTTAATTTTCAATGTTCAATATTTGTAATGCTTTTTATATTCTAATTGTTTTTTATAAAGCTTGCTTTCCTAGTGGGCTGAGGGCAGTTAGAAGATGATACGGTATTTCTGTGCTTGAGAAATAAGTGGCCCATATTCATTGTGGAGGAACCTGGTTGGGTGACTCAACCATAGCTCCAAATATAGTAGTTAACTACATCTCAACACAAAACTGCCAGTGACTCGCTCTCCTTTTTCCAGGGCCGCGTGCTTCACCCTGAACAGCACAGAGTAGTGAGTGTGCGAGAGTGTGCACGGTCCCAGGGATTCCCTGATACTTACAGGCTCTTTGGAAATGTACTGGACAAGCACAGGCAGGTAAGTGGCTGCGGAACCTTCCTAGAGAAGATTTCTATAATGTAAATGTTCAATAGAGTTTTTTAGAATCTGAACGCGCTCTTGTTCTGTTGCTCTATCGCTTAATAACGTTTGAAGAGAACCACTTTCCTCCTGTAGCAATTTTGAAAATGCTTTTCTGTTATTGTTTATAGTTGTTTGCAAGTTAGCACTAGAAAATAACCTTGGGAAAATAATAAAATAAAGAATTTTCGTTTAGGGATACACTCTATTTCAATTGGCTGAACATATAGTATTTTCTTAAACACCTCAAAAATGGGAAAAGATCCTTAGTTGGATGATAACTTTATTAAGATCAACCAACAGTGCAGAATTCTTCATTAGGAAACACCTAAAAACCGAAAAATAAAAAGTACAAAAGTGGCTTTCTGGAATGTATTGGGATAAATTGACAATGTTTTTCTTTGAGATTTTTTTTTATATGAAAGAAGCAACTATCAATGCATCCCTCAAGAATGAATATATTTGCCAGGGAAGATATATAAATTACAATTTATAATTATATAACATTTTAACATTTGAGATTCGACGAAGAAGGTTTTCCCATATTTTTGTACTCTTGATACCCAAGGCTAAGAAACCTCTGATAAAATGTAGTACATTATCATATAATGCTGTATAAGCATCTCTCTGTGGGTTGGTTCTCAATTAACAGTAGGTCTTTGCATATACAGTATATAAGGGATTTGAGGCAATGAAGGGAAGAGACGTTTCTTACCTTCCTCAGGACCAGCTTTGCTCACAGTACAGGCTTCTTCCATTTAGTGGCCCTGCAGCCAGAGTAGGGTTTTGCCATATGAGACCTCTTACTTTTCAGGCAGAAATGGTACATGTGCCAACTCTTCACCCTTGCTTGTGCTCTCTTTGTGCAGGTGGGAAACGCAGTCCCTCCACCTCTGGCAAAAGCCATTGGGCTAGAAATCAAACTGTGTGTGTTGGCAAAAATGAAAGAGGATGCCACAGGTATGTTATTGGAATGTTGTTGAACTTATTTGAAAAGGGACATTTGATGTCTGTATTTCAAGAGCTCAAGCAGTTTTGTACTTGCTGTGAACCAGGTAACACAACTCAATCTGGTCTTCTGTAAATTAGGATTGTAGTTCTTTTGTGCACCCTATGGAGTCCTCCAGATACAATGGCTAAGTGAACTAAGTAAACAAACTAAGTTTGTTTACTATCTTAGAGGGGTTGGCATGGAGACCAGAAACATGGTGCTCCTCATCTGAAATGCCTTAACAGTTTGAAAGTACTGTAGATACAAGATGCATTTGGGAAGTCTGTAGGCAGGAAACCATTTTCTTTCCAAGCCAGAAGAGAGTGAGAAGCTGATCTGTACCTTTCAGACAACTGTATTCTCTGTACACAAGAGCTTTACTGTGTTTTCTGAATATCTAGCTGTTTTGTTTCTTTACAGATGCCATCAAACAGGAAAAGATGGACACTTCAAATTAATTTGTAAATTGCCCATCTGCTGCACCTCAGCTCCAGCACCTGAACACCCAAACATGCACTGATAATTTTTAATGTTCTTCTGTTATTTTACTGGTTTATTTTCTTACCTCTGGACACACTGAAAATTGTTGGAGGTTTTGGTTTGTTCAGGGTTTTGGTTTTTTTTGTGCGTGTATGTGTTTTGTCTCTCCTTTCAAGCCTGTATTTGTGAACAGTGTTTGTCTACTTGGTTGACATTCTGAAACTGTTTCAATGTTCCCGCTGCCATTCTCAAATGATCAACTGTGCAGTGCCTATCCATGTGTGTAAGTGTATGCGTGTGTGTGTGTATGAGTTGAGGGAGTGGAGAATGTTTTTATTATGCATTGTATTGAAAACTAATCAGCCACTTTATACAAGTGGAAATAATACTTTATGTAGTTTTTATATGTTGTAATATTTCTTCAAATAAATCTCCTATAAATTACTAGAGGGCCATTTTTGATTTTTTTTTCCGAATGATTGTCCCCTGTTGCACTTGATTTGGCTAATATTACTGCTGGGATCTACCACTGCTATACCAATCTTCTGATTGTTAAGTACCTATTCACTTAATCTATTCACAGTGACAACTCTGATCCTTGCACACCCATTACCTTAACTAAGACATTAGAGCAATTTTTTCATAAGAGCAGTTTTCTGTTGCTCCTAGAAACACAATATTTTATAACCTGATTTGCATAGCATGCTAAACCATACTTAATCATGGGTTAGACTCTGGCTAGCACAGCATCTTAATCAGGGGGCTGTAATCATAACAGTTTTGATTAGTTTATCAGAATAATAATTTGGCCTGATATCTGGACCTGAACACTTGTCTATGTTACAGTGAAGTTGCCGTTACTGTTATTTTTTAAATCACATGTAGATATGGGCATACAGTAAATTGGATACAAAAGTGGGTGTGTATCATTAGTGCAAACCAGACATCCAAGTTATCTCATACAGATGCATGCAAAAGTTTAGATATTCCTTGTCAAACAATCCCAAAGTGAACAGAAGCTGCCTTTTACATGGTTTTAGGAGTTAAATGCATTTAACTCCTAAAACATTTGAATGCATTTGAAAAAAAAAATCTAAAACTAAACTCTAAAATTTCTTAACTGGCCACAAGAAGTGTTTGGAAACCAGCATTTCCTCAAAAGCCATTACAGAGTACATGTTGGAAAGATGTCCCATGCCCACCACATTTACAGTTTTCTTATTTTGAGTCTGGTAAACAACTGTACTTAATAATAAGTATGCATTCTGAATTGCCCATTTCATTGAATGCCTTATGTTTTTATGACCTGATCTCACAGTCTGGTACAAAATAATAAGTTAGGTGTGGGAGACCAGAATGTTGGGCTGTCTGAACATCAGGGGGAATGATGTTCCCTAAAGCAGTGGCTTGAACAGAGAAAACACACCCCTTGGATGTCTCTAGATGCCAAGGTTTACGGAAGAAACTCGAAGCAGGTGGATCTCATTGACCAAAACGTGTGATCATTAAGTGAGACATAAAGGGCTGCATCTTGTAACTTGCTGTTGACTTCCCCATTTATTTTGCTTGTCAGAAGTTTGCTGGGATGGTTATAAATCATCATATGACCCTGGAAAATTCCAACTGCTATAAATGTGAGCTGGTTGCCAAATGCCCAGATCACGATCACATTACCCCAGGGATGCTATGATAGTTGTGTGATGACCAGGTTGTAAGTCACTTTTTCAGTGCTGTTATAATTGCAAATGAATGGTTGTAAGTCAAGCATTACTTATAATGGGTTCAAACTCATGCCAGGCAACCATTCTAGACATCTTGGTCTCAAAGGAAAGTGCACAACTGGAGTCTGAAGAAATCCAAGCACCTTTATCCCACAGAGGCTTAGCATTGCAGCCTTGGTGCCTCTTCCCTGGAAGAAATTAGGACATTCAAAGGCTGTTGCATAGCTATCTGGATGTAATAAGAGCAGGAAAATATATTTTTAAAGCCTAACAGGGTCCATCAGGTATATGGGATAGATCTATGGTTTTTGTTTTTTGTTTTATTTATATGCCGCCCTTCTCCGGAGACCCAGGGCGGCTTACAATGCATTAAGCAATAGCCTTCATACTTTTGTATATTTATACAAAGTCAGCTTATTGCCCCCACAATCCAGGTCCTCATTTCACCTACCTTAGAAAGGATGGAAGGCTGAGTCAACCTTGAGCCTGGTGAGATTTGAACTTGCAGTAATTGCAGCTGATGTTAATAACAGTGCTTTAGTCTGCTGCGCCACCACTTCTACAGACACTAACAGACACTTCTATCCTGCCACAAGAAGTGATTGCAGAATTAACAGTAATCAACCACAGCAAAGGATAGATAGTGATATCTCCCACTTCCAAATCTTCCACTGCTCTGAGGAAAAAAATGTATGTAATGGTTTGGTATAATGGTTAAGGAACCAACCTAGAAACCAGAAAATGTGAGTTCTCATCCAAATTTAGGAACAAAGCCAGCTGGGTGACTTTGGGTCAGTTACTGTCTCAGCCCTAGGAAGAAGCAGCGGCCGCACGGGTGGTTATGGGGGCGACTCGGCGCACCCACGTAACACCCCTCCTGCGCGAGCTGCACTGACTCCCGGTGGTCTTCCGAGTGCGATTCAAGGTGTGGTCCCCACCTTTAAAGTGCTTCATGGCTTAGGACTGGGGTATATACGAGACCGCCTGCTGCCAGCAACAGCCTCCCACTGGCCAATACGCTCCCACAGAGAGGGGCTCTTCAGGGTGCCGTCGGCCAGACAATGCCGACTGGCGACACCCAGGGGGAGAGCCTTCTTTGTGGGGGCACCAGCCCTCTGGAATGAGCTGCCCCTTGAGATTCGTCTCATCCCCGACCTGCGTACCTTTCGTCGCGCCTTGAAGACCCTCTTGTTCCAACAAGCCAGCCTGGCCTAATACGAATTCTAAAATGGGTGTATGTGTGTTTTAATCTATGGGCCAAATTTTTATATATTCAATTTTAAATTGTTTTAAATTTTGTATATTTATATGTGTTTTAATATGGCTGTACACCGCCCTGAGTCCTTCGGGAGAAGGGCGGTATAGAAATCTAATAAATCCTAAATCCTAAATCCTAAAATGTAAAATTTGTTACTACCAGTTCTGTGGGCATGGCTTGGGGTGGGTGGGGGGTAATGTGATGGTGGGCGTGGCCAACTTTTTTTAAAAAAAACTTTTTTAAACCGGGAGTCCAAACCGGGAGAATTTCACCCCTGGGAAGAAGGTAATGTCAAACCACTTGTGAAATGTTGCCAAGAAAACTGCAGAGACACTTCTAAGCAGTCACCAGGAATCAACACTGACTCAAAGGCACCACACACCTCAAAATGTGTAACAACTACTTTAAATTGGCCCCATAAACTCTCTGGGTCAGGTTCAAATTTTGGCAGCCATGAACTTCTGAGCCATGTCTAAATCTATGCCCAGAGAAGGCAGATTAAAGCCCTCCACTAATACTAGTTTGGGAAACTCCAGCATCCTGGAGGAGCTCAATAGGAATGTTGCTATGAAGCAAGAAGGCCGATATAGTGGCAATAGTCCCATATATTCCCAGGGCGTAATCACATCAGTAGATTCTCATAACCAGCTATGTATAGAGTAGCATTTCTGAAAGTCACCATCCTTTTGGTTGCATCTTCAAAATCCAGGGCATGTTTCTGAAAGAAGAAACACCCCTCTGTACTCAGCCAGGTCTTGGTAATGCACATTAGATCACCCCTCTCATGGCATTGGAGTTAAGCATAGGGAGTTGAAGATTGGAATTGGGATTAAGGAAATATAGTTTATGTATTGTGTTGAGTCAGCTTAATCTTGGCATACTCATTAAGATACAACTGGCTAGGTCTGCACAACATAGTAAACACTAACCCATGGTTAATATACTAAATTCACCCAGCTGGTTAAACCAAAACCAATTAAATTGCATTATGGTTAAGTTAGTGTGAATCCAGTCACTGTATGACCACACATATACCTCCTTACTCAGGAACCAAAAAATGAGCAATGGGCAAATGTTAACTCATATAGAGGATTTTGTAGTTCAGTGGTAATGCCAGAATTTTCTATTCATATATTCAAAGCAGTCCCAGTGGATTTAGTATGTTCTTTCAATCACATGGGGGGAAATAGTATGTGCTGGTTTGAAATAAATATCATGCAAAAGTATCAATGCAGGGAACTAATATTTTTGAGTGATTCTCAGAGAACTGAGATGGTACATCTCTAAATAGCAAATGGCAACTGCTATTTAGGGGTGGGGGGGAGAGAAACCTCGCTGAATAGCCTTTTTTTAGTAAAGTAGAACGGCATCCAAATATGAAGCCTACAATCTTCTCTCCTGCCACGTGTCAGAACTGTCACGCAGGCGAAGAAGAGCCCAATTCCGCTTGTGTCGAGAAGCAGAACTCCATTACCCAGGATGCCTCACGTCTCTTGCGGCGCTCTATTGTGCGTCACTCTTATGCGTTGCAGCGCCCACTTCCTGCCCTGGAGCCAGGCCCGAGTTGTTCCGATCGTTTCCATCGGCGACGATGCCAACCGGCGACTACGAGTAAGGAAAGCAAGCGGGGGAGGGGGAGGGGGAGGGGGAGGGGGGGCTGGCAGGGAGGTGTAACGGGAAGGGGGCTCGTGCTGCGTGGGCATGACGAGAGGGGAGCCCCCGGGAGAGGCGCACACGTGTCTTCGTCGCCGCTTATCCGAAAGGCATGCAGACGCGCCCCAGAAGTCCCCTATATCGGTGTGAATTCACACACGCACGCGCACGTGCATCCGGCGTATTCTTGCTTTGCGTGCATGAAAGGCTGGGATGCGAACTCTCCACCGAGTCGGCCTTCCACCCCTCGGGCGCCATTGCGCAGCTGTCCAGACGTGGGAAACAAACAAACAAACAAACAAAAAAGTCAACCGGAGATGTTCGGGGAAGACTTTCTCTCGCCTTGTATTCAGTGCTGCATCTAACGCTGAACGTTTCCTGGACACTTTTGCGGTTGTCATTTCAGTAATCTAAACACGAATTAAAGGGTGGGAGAAGAAGGTAGCGAGGGAGAAAAAGCCTGCCCCGAATTCCCACCGATGCACCCTGGGTAGGAAGTGCCGTCCTTGAAGGGAAGTCCCGTTGGGAAAAGGGGGTGAAGCGCTGAGCCTGACCCCGTTTTCACCGAGGGGAGCTAAATCTTTGCCTGGGGGGGGTTCCACTTCGTTTGTGGGGTGGCGGTTCCCATGAGGGACTGTGGGGTCACCAGAAAAACGCAGTGGAAGCCTCTTTCCAACTCAACTAGGTTTTTTTTCCCCCCCTGTACAGGTAGTCCTCAACTTATCATCGCAATTGAGCCCAAAATTTATGTTGCTACCTGAGAAATTTGTTAAGTGAGTTTTGCCCCATTTTATGACTTTTCTCGCCACATT